ATATTGTGAACGAGGCTTTACTTTACAAATCAATTGCAGGTTTTTCTTTATCTTGTCATAAGATTCTTTTATATCTTTTTATTGCAAAGATAACTGTGTCAGTCGATAGCTTAAGAATATCCGTCGACTAGTCTGTATTGTATATGTACCCCCAAGACGGCTATTTCATGTTTTCTTTGTACAAAAATAGAAGGAAGTATTCATCCAATTGACTTATTTGTCTCAGACCTATTACGTCTGATCTTCATAGACGTTATGTTTTTAGTAGGATGAAATATTATGTTCGTTGTCATAAGAGACATGTGTTTCATTCCCTTTTTTTATGATGATGAATCGAGAACTTTAAAAGTTCAAATCAGGAAATGAAATAATCGATTTTTACGCCCATTTGTTCTGTTCCTGTGGTCCTATTCAACCACATTCCCACTCGAAAAAAAACATTTTCTGTCATTTACATTCAAAAACTATATTGAAACATACCATTAAGGTGATTACTAGATTGTTCAAACTCAGACCAAACTTTCGTTCCGTTTTTTTTTTGTATCAGCTTTTAATTTTAATATAGCCACTTCAGTTATGGTCGACAGCCCTCTTGAACGTTTTTCAAATTAACCATTTGACCTAACTCGTTTGCTTTAACAAATCAAATGTCTGTCCTCTCCAGCGCTGGTATTTTATGACGCAGTGTTTATCAGGTGATTGTGCTTGTGCTCTCAAATTCGAAAAGTTACCCGTGGATACGTTCAGATGATGACTCATTCCGACAATCAGTGAGTTGATTTTGGAACTGCTGTTAATTTCCCCCTCTTTGTGAATAAACCCTCTTCCCCAAAGTCCCCTTCATTCCAGATTTCAACCTTGAAGTGCAAAAAGACGACGGTTGAGAAGCACTGGTGTACAGTGTACAAAGAGAACAGCGGAATGAGTCTCACTTTCTCGAATCTTTTCTTATAATCTTATTATTGCTTGAACAGCCTCAAACTATTCTATTTCGTTTACAATTGCAGACAAACGGGTTTGTCATTTTCATTCTGGAGAGTGGTATCCATAGTCCATATTTTCAATTAAAGCTCATGTTCAAACTTTATCAGATTTAAAGTCAGATATATACCAAAGCTATATGATATATATTTATTTAATGGTGCTAAATGGGAAATAACTCTGTTCAAAGTGTTAACACGATATTTCAAGATTTCAAGGGAACTGACACAGAATCTTGTGTAAAACCTGTAAAACCGACGAAACCCATGACAAAACTCCAGTCAGCGATAAAAATCGCCGCACCATTATAAGTAGTTGGCCCTCGTATGCCAGACACATGTTCTATTTATAACTCTATGACCTTTTCACAACTATTTTAACCACCCATTGAACTTTGTCTTAACCGTAGGAGTTTGCAGCAACTTTCAATGGCCGTGAGGCAGACATATTTTGAAGAGTACAATACATGTACATTCAACTTCTGTGGTACCCTTTGTCTGCTTGGTTACGGATGCCAGCACCGAATCGAACCAACTGGACAAACCATTTAACAATTTAATGAAATTGTATTAACGCTAAGGTCTACAACCTAAAGACTTCCGGTTTGGTTCGGTTTGGTGATTGGTAATTAAAATCAACCCAACGTTCCCACAATCTCTTCAAGAAAAAATTGTAAGACAAAGTATAATAGTTAAATCTTTTTACTCACGGAAGATGAATTTTTGGTATTTTTCTTTTTTCTGTTAGATTTTTTACCAGAAATCTTGTGGTCTTCATTATCGTCGTCTGTCATAGGCATCAACCCTTCCAACTTCAGCTTTCTAATCCTTTCTTCTTCTGCATCAGCTAACAGTTTCTCTTTATGATCTAGGTTTCTCTGTGAAATATATAAAAAGATATTATCTCTTACGAGTAGTGATACGAGGCTTTTTGGCGAATTCGAAGCAAGTTTGTTGGATTCTGTTATGCTTGGTTCCCAATATCTCAATAATCGGCACGATTGGAATCGTGATTTTGTTCGTTGTGATCATATCTGATCTTGAAATCTGTCTTGACAATTGTAGAAATCTTTTGAACAGTTCAAAATTTGAACGATCAATGGACAATCTGGGTCATTGTATCATATCGTATTGTTTCTAATCCTGCTTCCAAATCGGGATCGATATTAACAAGACAAACACAATGCTATGTTTAGACGTGTTGCGATCTGTCACGATGTATTACGCTCTAGGGGCCCATTGTTCGTACCAGAACGTATCGACTCCTATAAGAAATCTGAGATTTCAGAGAAATTCAGGTACGAATTGCCAATTTTGAAGTAAGAAAATACATTTACAGACAAGTAATGCTAGTGTGATAAAGTACATGACCACACGCTTTAAGGACAACAAAATACATATATAGTCATATAGGAGCCAAAAGGTCAGTTCTGTGAGCAGGCTCCATTTTAATGGAGAGGGGGAGAGAGAGGGATAGGGCTTATCCATGCTCAATGCCAGCTCTAAGGATGGTGATGTTAAATCCACTTACATGATGTTCTTCTTGTATTCTACGATGAAATTCTTCATTCCATTTTCTATCATTGATTCTTATGACGTCACTTCCCATCAATCTGATAAGTTCCTCTCGGAATTTGATGTTTTCCAATCTGCATAATAACATAATATACATTGTTGCTGTTTTAATGTGTTTTTGCTCAAATAGAAAGGTTTAAAGCTTAAACCAAAGTTAAAGCGAGTATGTATATTGTTTGTACCACCACATGCAAGTTCCTTCAAAATGGAATTTAATCCTACATTATCTTAGTCCACTATCACCGGTCCTACACGATAGAATTTCGTTTTACAAGGTGGAAATTATTTTTACAGTTGAAAATTGAATCTGGACGATGGAAATTGAATCTGTACGATGGAAATTGATCCTGTACGATGGAAATTGATCCTGTACGATGGAAATTGATCCTTAACAATGGAAATTGATCCTTTACAATGGAAATTGATCCTTTACAATGAAATTGATCCTGTACAATGGAAATTGAATCTTTACAATGGAAATTGAATCTTTACAATGGAAATTGATCCTGTACGATGGAAATTGATTCTGTACGATGGAAATTGATCCTTTACAATGGAAATCTGTCCTTTTACGATAGAAATTGATCTTTAACGATAGAAATCGATCATAAACGATAAAAGAATTAATTCCGAGATGGATATTGTAAGTATAGTATTGATCGTCCCACACGATGATAAGTGCTCGTATATACGATGACTTCACGATGAAATCGGTCATACACGTTGAAGATTGGTCCTTCACGATGTAAAGTGATCATACAGTATTTAAAACTTTTGAAGTAACGAATGCTTTTGAAGTTTTTCCATTATCTAACCCCGTATAAGATTTTTTACTGTATCGAATTTGAGTATCACGTTTACACACTAAAAATTATTTCTACAGGATCGAAATTGGTCCTGTCAAATATTAATTTTTCACACTCTAAACTAATCATACATATTCGAAATTGGTCATACACGATCAGGTGTGGCCATACACGATACAAATTAATCATACACTTTCGAAATCCGAATACAATCCGACACGATACAAATTCGATGTGGAATATTTCTAAATTCGTAGACGCATTTGTAGTATCACAATAAACGTTAATAGAAATGTAATAAGAACGAAGATTTTTATGATTGAATTATTGTCGTTGATAAGATCTTAAGTAGATTGAAGACTACTCAACTAAGATTATTTCATTATTCATATGAACACTTGCCAAAATATGTAATACATTACTTACACCTAGTGGATAGGATTGGGTAAGTATAAACATTATTTACAATAGTATGTATATATTACATTTACTATTTAAAGAGCAGATAGAAACATTTGACATAATATTGATACTGAGTTGAAAGGAATGAGTAAGTATAAACATAATTTACAATTTAAAGGATTGTACACCAGTATGTATAAATTCTATTTACAATTTAAAGTAAGCAGATGTATGTTTATCAAAAAAAGTGTTTACACCAAGGGGATAGGATCTAGTAAACATACTTTACTTTAAAATTTAAAGAAGTAAGTATAAGTGTGTGTAAATATTATTTACAATTCAAAAAAGTACACAGACACATGTAACACATTATTTACACTTATTGGAAAAGAGCGGGCAATATTGTAAATAGTATTTACATTTTTATGGAGAAGTCACCTGTATTTTCCTTTAGATAGAAAGAATTTGTTAAAGTTCGTCATCTGTTTGACCAATCGCACCTTATTCTCAGAAACAGGGTTTAATTTTAGCTAAGCTAATCAGTTTTAGTGTTCACAGTTCACCGTCGAAATTTGAGCCTTCAATTCCACGTATGTCCAGAATTATATGCATTTGAAAGTTAAAATTCGTCTTTTCTGGAGATTAGAAAGTGAAATTCATTGTTTTTTATTTTAGAAGGAATTATGCGATTTTCGTACATGTCTAGTACTTTTGCAGATTATTTACACATTTTTAAGACTCAAATTAACTTCTAAAAATGGCGAACCTGTACCTTTAATGTCGGTAATTCCATTATGTTCGTGTCATTGGTAAGATTATCACGAACTTTGGTTGACATAAGGTCACAGACATATTAATGACCTTTCTAAGAAGTAAGACTGTACTTTTCTTGCACAATCCCGTTTGAAGTAAGGGCTCTGCATTAAATATATAAAAACAGACTCTTTCGTTTTCTTGTGATAGCTTTAGTTTAGATTTGTTTCGTTTATACAAGATATAAAATATATATACAAGATTGAAGAATGATATACAATATTTAAGAAAGGTATACAGGATTATACAATGGTATACAGAATTGTAGACAGTGACTGATTGTAGAATGAAATACCAGATGGTGTCACATAGAAAATTGAATATTTTATACAAAATTGTAGAATTTTGAGAACATTGTAGAACAAAAAACAGGATCAAGAATCATGCACACATAATATTGTAAAATGATATACAAGACTGCAGAATGATATACAAGACTGTAGAATGATATACAAGACTGTAGAATGATATACAAGACTGTAGAATAAAATGATAAGATTGTAAAATAATATACAAGATTGTAGAAGAGTATGCAAGATTGTAGAATAATATACAAGATTGTACAATAGTATACAAGATTGTAGAACAATATACAAGATTGTACAATGTACAATAGCATACAAGATTGTACAATAGTATACAAGATTGTACAATAGTATACAAGATTGTACAAAAGTATACAAGATTGTACAATAGTATACAAGATTGTACAATAGTATACAAGATTGTACAATAGTATACAAGATTGTAGAACAATATACAAGATTGTACAATGTACAATAGCATACAAGATTGAAGAATAATATACAACATTTAGAATAGTATGCAATACTAAAGAACAATGTACAATATTGAAGAATAAGATACAAGATTGAAGAATAATATACAAGATTGTAGAAGAGTATACAAGATTGAAGAATGATAAACAATATCTTTGAATAATATGCAAGATTGTAGAATAATATACAAGATTGTACAATAGTATACAAGATTGAAGAATAATATACAACATTTTAGAATAGTAGGCTATACTAAAGAACAATGTACAATATTGAAGAATAAGATACAAAATTGAAGAATGATATACAAGATTGTACAATGTACAATAGCATACAAGATTGAAGAATAATGATATACAACATTTTAGAATAGTATACAATACTAAAGAACAATGTACAATATTGAAGAATAGGATACAAGATTGAAGAATAATATACAAGATTGTAGAAGAGTATGTAAGACTGAAGAATGATAAACAATATTTTTGAATAATATGCAAGATTGTAGAATAATATACAAGATTGAAGAATTATATACAAGATTGAAGAATAATATACAAGATTGGAGAAGAATATACAAGATTGGAGAATAATATAAACAAGATTTCAGAGCAATATACAATATTGTGTGTAGAATATAATATTCAGTATTGTTGGATAATATGCAAGATTGTTGAATAATTCAAAGATTGTGGACGTATATATGCAGATTGTGAATGAGGGGTTTTACTGACAGAAATTGTATGTAACGCACAACCCCTCATTGACTGATTGTAAATTCCACTTTTCTACAAGATTTATTAGCCATAAAAGAAGAACACTTGAAATTTGAATTATGTATCCTGCATACTTAATACTGCATTCTTGCACTTTAATAAACTGCCAAAGTGTTACAAAATTTATGAACTTGAGATCATAAAGATAACAGACAAGAGTTAAAGTTTATAGCAGAACAATATTGTTAACTTGTTAATGTAAACAGAGTACATCCATGTTGTACAAAGTGTTTGTAATAACATAAAAAATATTGCCAACTTACTAATGTAAACACAGTACATCCATGTTGTACAAAGTGTTTGTATTAACAGAAAATATTGTTAAATTACTCGAGTAAACAACGTACATCCATGTAGGACAAAGTGTTTGTTTTAACAGAAAATATTATCAACTTACCCCAGTAAACAACTACATCCACGTAGGACAAATATTGTTAACTTACTCTAGTAAACAACGTACATCCAGGTAGGATAAAGTGTTTGATTTAACAGAAAATATTGTCAACGTAAACTAGTAAACAAAGTACATCCATGATGGACATTGTGTTTGATTTACGAGAAAATATTGTCAACGTATCCTAGTAAACAATGTACATAGATGTTTACAGAAAATATTGTCAACTTACCCTAGTCAACAAAGCACATCCATCTAAATAGACAATATTTTCAACCTACCCTAGTAAACAACGTACATCCATGTTGGACAAGGTGTTAGATTTAATGATTCTCGAATAGTGTTAATCCTAATCCTTTATCATGATAATCTTTCTGTTCGTGTGTCTATTCATTTATATCCATATATGTCTATGGACACTAATTGAGTTTGCTGGTTCTATATATTACTAAATGATGAAAAAGTGAACTATATCATTTAGTAAACTTCCTGGGAATTGATCGTGGAGTATCTATGATTGATATGCCCGTCGTAATATTAGTTTTTATTATTTGACTTTTGCATGCTTTATGATATATTATTCAGTTATTAACTGATCAGAGCTTTATTCACATGATCACCCTTCAATGGGGATTAAACATGAAAGTATAGTACAATATACATTGAATCCTTGTTAATACCCAAGTTAAAGGTTTGGGCTTTGAACTGGTTGTTCTACCTTCTGATTCAGTCCAAATACCACAGTGAGTGGTTGAACCAAGTCCAAGGGCTGACCCAAAATTCAAAGGGGACATCCAATTTTAAAAAAAAAAGTACCAAATTTTAAAAAAGGCCTACCAAAGTAAGTATTTGAATATGTAATATAAAATGGTTCATAAATCTGTAAATCTTCCATTAACAGACATTAAATTGACTTACAGAGAGGTCTCGGAATTCAAGAGAGGATATGTTTAAAAAGCTGGATGGTAGCAGATTCTACCGTAAATAGAGCACTTGCAACTGATGGGAGCTGACAACAACTGTAATCTTTCAGTCGTCAACGTTCAGGTCGACTAAATCCAGTGGTGAATCAGATCCTGTTGAAAATTAAGTTGCTGTCAGATTCTGCCATTCGCAAGGTTGATCTGAACTCCCCTTTATCTGATTGAGTACAGAATACAAATGAATCACAAGGTAAACAAAGAAGATTAATAACATGTAAAAACCTTCACACTAATTGAGTATATAAATCAACCTGTAATACAACATTGTTAATATCTATCTAATACTGAACAATATGTTAATTTGATACACTGAACATGTATAGATCACTTAATACACTTGTTCAGTTTCATAAGGTTCTTTATTATTAGTTCTCTATTGTATTCAATGAGTATACCGCCGAGGATTACTGTTGAATTTGAATAATATCACGTACATACAGAATATAGTAACATTGTTACAGATCTTACAACATTCATAACATTCTCATGTTCGGATGGGACAATAAACTGGGGCTGCCTCGACAGTTGAAGACCGAAAAAGAATAGGCTAATGCCGATGTCCTCATTGTACGTGTAACTGCGAATACCATACAAAACTACGTACTTACATGGAAATAACACACACGAATCTAGTTCACAACCATTTTGAATCTCTTCCTCGACTTATTTAGTCGATTTTGATAAACATTAAATTATTTCAACTTAGCCTTCAAATCACATATAAAGGTTTAAAAATGGCTCTTAACATGATTTAGAGTTGAAATGTTATAACCCTCTTAAAAATTGGACTTCAGTCGAAGAAGTGATTCAAAATTGTTGTGAACCATGTCCGTGTGTGTTATTTGCATGTACCTTATGTAGTTTCGTATTTACGAACACTCTTGAGCACCTACCCATGTTCACAAATAAATGATATGGCCTTTTCAAATGTCCCTAAGACCACAGTTACGTTACACATAATTCGATCATAAATAGAATTGGTAAGAAGTTTGATGTGGGAATGTTAAAAGATCAAAGTGAGATTTATGGAGGATTAAACTTCAAAAGGGGCTCAATACATGTAGACGTTCCTAAATAAACCATTTCTTTCACTACAACGTTTGAAGACTTCAGTTAAAACCTTTTTAGACCAACGTAGACTAGAATGGTTCGAATAATAAAACGTAGATACCTTGTATAAAGATAAGAGACAGTATTTTCCTGATATAATGATAAGATAGAAGACAGTATATACCTGGTATATAGATTAGATAAAGACAGTATATACCTAGTATATAGATTAGATAGAAGACATTATATACCTAGTATATAGATAAGATAGAAGACAGTATATAGCTAGTATATAGATAAGATAAAGACAGTATATACCTAGTATATAGATTAGATAAAGACAGTATATACCTAGTATATAGATAAGATAGAAGACAGTATATACCTGGTATATAGATAAGATAGAAGACAGTATATACCTGGTATATATATTAGATAAAGACAGTATATACCTAGTATATAGATTAGATAGAAGACATTATATACCTAGTATATAGATAAGATAGAAGACAGTATATACCTAGTATATAGATAAGATAAAGACAGTATATACCTAGTATATAGATTAGATAGAAGACAGTATATACCTAGTATATAGATAAGATAGAAGACAGTATATACCTTTCCAGATGAAGTAGAAGGCAGTATTTTCCTGGTATAATGATAAGATAGAAGTCAGTATATACCTAAGATAGAAGACAGTATATAACTGGTATATAGATAAGATAAAGACAGTATAAACCTGGTATATAGATAAGATAGAAGACAGTATATAACTGGTATATAGATAAGATAAAGACAGTATAAACCTGGTATATAGATAAGATAGAAGACAGTATTTACCTAGTATATAGATTAGATAGAAGACATTATATACCTAGTATTTAGATAAGATAAAGACAGTATATACCTAGTATATAGATAAGATAAAGACAGTATAAACCTGGTATATAGATAAGATAGAAGACAGTATATACCTTTCCAGATGAAATAGAAGGCAGTATTTTCCTGGTATAATGATAAGATGGAAGTCAGTATATACCTAAGATAGAAGACAGTATATAACTGGTATATAGATAAGATAAAGACAGTATAAACCTGGTATATAGATAAGATAGAAGACAGTATATACCTTTCCAGATGAAGTAGAAGGCAGTATTTTCCTGGTATAATGATAAGATAGAAGTCAGTATATACCTAAGATAGAAGACAGTATATAACTGGTATATAGATAAGATAAAGACAGTATAAACCTGGTATATAGATAAGATAGAAGACAGTATATAACTGGTATATAGATAAGATAAAGACAGTATAAACCTGGTATATAGATAAGATAAAGACAGTATATACCTAGTATATAGATAAAATAAAGACAGTACAAACTTGGTATATAGATATATACCTGGTATATAGGTTCGATAAAGACAGTATATACCTGGTATATAGATTCGATAAAGACAGTATATACCTGGTATATAGATAAGATAGAAGACAGTATATATACCTGGCATCCAGATGAGATAGAAGACAGTATATACCTGGTATATAGATAAGATAGAAGACAGTATATACCTGGTATATAGATTAGATAAAGACAGTATACATGGTATATAGATAAGGTAGAAGAAAGTATTTACCTAGTATATAGATAAGATAAAGACAGTATAAACCTGGTATATAGATAAGATAGAAGACAGTATATACCTGGTATATAGATAAGATAAGGGACAGTATATATCTGGTATATAGATAAGACAGAAGACAGTATATATCTGGTATATAGATAAGATAGAAGACAGTATATACCTAGTATATAGATAAGATAAAGACAGTATAAACCTTGTATATAGATAAGATAGAAGACAGTATATACCTGGCATCCAGATAAGATAGAAGACAGTATATAACTTGCATCCAGATAAGATAGAAGACAGTACATAACTGGTATATAGATAAGATAAAGACAGTATATACCTAGTATATAGATAGAATAAAGACAGTATATACCTAGTATATAGATAAGATAAAGGCAGTATACATGGTATATAGATAAGATAGAAGACAGTATATACCTAGTATGTAGATAAGATAAAGACAGTATACATGGTATATAGATAAGATAGAAGACAGTATATACCTGGTATATAGATAAGATAAAGACAGTACAAACCTTGTATATAGATAAGGTAGAAGAAAGTATTTACCTAGTATATAGATAAGATAAAGACAGTATAAGCCTGGTATATAGATAAGATATAAGATAGTATATACCTGGTATATAGATAAGATAAGGGACAGTATATATCTGGTATATAGATAAGACAGAAGACAGTATATATCTGGTATATAGATAAGATAGAAGACAGTATATACCTAGTATATAGATAAGATAAAGACGGTATATACCTTGTATATAGATAAGACAGAAGACAGTATGTATCTGGTACATAGATAAGATAGAAGACAGTATATACCTAGTATATAGATAAGATAAAGACAGTATATTCCTTGTATATAGATAAGATAGAAGACAGTATAAACCTGGTATATAGATTAGATAGAAGACAGTATATACCTAGTATATAGATAAGATAAAGAGAGTATAAACCTGGTATATAGATTAGACAGAAGACAGTATATACCTAGTATATAGATAAGATAAAGACAGTATATACCTAGTATATAGATTAGACAGAAGACAGTATATACCTAGTATATAGATAAGATAGAAGACAGTATATACCTAGTATATAGATAAGATAAAGACAGTATATACATTGTATATAGATAAGATAGAAGACAGTATATACCTGGTATATAGATAAGATAGAAGACAGTATATATCTGGTATAACGATAAGATAAAAGACAGTATATACCTATTATCTGGATAAGAAAAAAATATATTATGATATTGATGAAAGCAAATGACACAGGATAATAAGAATTAAAAAGTCACGTATATCTAGAGCTTATTCAGCTTTTGAGCGTAGTTAAAAAGCTAAAATGTTCCATGCAACATGCAATATTATCTTACCCAGTTGATGGCGGTCTGTATTCGATATTTTTCCCTGTTCGATATTTATCCTTAGTTTGTTCCAGATCGAACTCTTCCAATAATTTTCGAATAATTTGTTCATGTTTTCGTTTCGTTTCCTCGGAATATTCTCTCTCCAGCTCCATTCTCTTACAAAATGTTTCACCGTTTTTAGTTTTGATAATTATTTCGGTTTCCATGGCAGCTGAAGAAACAAACATTTGGATATTTTCGTCATCACAATCATCGGGATTTCTCGGTCTTCCTATTGAAGCCATAATTGTTATTTCCGGGTGTTTAACAAACTGCGTCCAAGCACAAATTGCTTGACAACCTTCAAGTTGAAGTTTTATTAAGTTAAATGGATACAGAATTGACTATGGGTTGGCTACAGATTTTATCTCGACATTTCATTAAGATAAATTTGAAGCGTTATACTGTTATCTCTATATTTTAATTAAAATCGTGTTTAATTAGTTATTTAGGACTTTATGCAATGTTAATAGAAATCAAGGTAATGTAGACTCGGTCAATCTGGATAGTTTACAAGTGACAACAGTGTAAGTATTCTCGATACTTTGACGTCATTTGTTAATGTTATTATTACACGTGCGAATGATAACGGTGTGGGTGTTGGGTGTTATAGAAGATACTCTCCTATAGAAGAACTGACCAAGGTAACAAGAAGAGAACATACTTCTTTTATATCAATTTTCAATTTGAGTAATATAGATTAAATTGATATGGTATTATAAATTATCTGTGCTTGATGCAAAGAGAAATTACAACCATGTAAATTCTGCAAAGACTAAAATAATACAATGCTTACAAATAATCCCCAAATAATGTATTGTTTGAGACAGTTAATGGAATATTACATTGTTATCACTGGTTTGATATGTTTCATGTGGAATTTTTCATTCTGAAAAGTGATACGCATGGCTGAAATTGTGTTCTGATATCTCCGAACAAAACATGCAAACAGCACATATAAACGACCATAGCCCTTTAAAATCAAATCATCTACAGTAGAATGGGTATCGATCCGTTAACCAATATTGATTAAATGAACGGATGTTATTTACAGATTAGAGAATATTGTCTATAATTATATCTATTATTTCTATATTCAATGCTTCTCGTAATCGATTACATTGCATTTAGACGATATTGGGCAATATTGAATCAAGTGGTAAATACAATAGTTAGCCTATATTCGGCATTGCATTTTTTGACAAGGAATTTTATAAGTGCTGCTATTTCGAAATCGATCAACTTATAAAGCTGTAATTTAGTGAAAAGATGTTTAATATCTCTATAATTATGAGGGTGAAATATTATGGTCTTAACTTTGATACATTATGAATAATCCTTAAATGAAAAGAGTACGGGTTTTTTTCTAAGCCATCCAATTGAAATACAAGAACGTTTTATAAAAGCGAAATGATGTTTAATTATAGTCACAACAAATATCTACATCCGATGCCACTCTATGTCGAAATGAAAATTTAATCTCATCACTCTGCGATTGGGTTTTTCAACTCTCTATTCATCTTACAAAGAAGCAACATCCATAATTAGACTTATAGATGATCGCGCTGTTTGTGCTGTATTCATTTTAATCTTCCCTCATCCATGATCTGAAGAAATTCTTCTATTAACTATTCGATCGAATTTAAACCTAGGATGTCAAACGAGTCTTAAGTTGATAAGTAAACCATATTGCATATCATAGTCAAAATGATAAGAATTTGGAATGAGTACATGTTTAAATAAGAATTTCATGAAGAATGAACTAAAAAAAACTTTACAAAATTGACAAAAACCTATTTAATGAGAAAAGTCCCCCTTTAAGAATCGGACTAATTGCCCTTAAAGTTTTTTTTCAGAAACGGACAGTCGCATTCTTGACAGGTTACTGATCCCCTGTTGTATTCAAAAACAAGAACGAAAAATCAACTTACTGTTTTCGAAGCCAGGAGGGTACTGTTGAAGTAGTCATGGTTTACAATGTATTTATTGTATCAAAAATAAACGAAATGATACTTGAGTTAACTGTTCACATCGACTAATATTTACTTTCTTATAAACACTAGGCTAAGTTGATCATATTCTAAACGTTTTATGATATACTTCAGATACAAGTAAGGTTCGTATTTAAAATAAGGTTATAAAATTATTAATGGTTATATTATTATGTACAAATAATAAAGCTGGTAATGTGGTTCTATACAGAAATTTATTTAAAGGGACATATGCGCCATTTTTTTACCAACATACCTTTGTCTCAGAAAAGGGAATTTTTTAGATTAGCCAATCAGTAATAGTGTTCACAGCTCACCGTCGAAATTTGAGTCAAATTCATGTGTGTTCAGAATTATTCGCGTTTGAAAATTAAAAAGACGAGTCGTCTTTTCTTGAGACACTGTCATATATATAAAAGACATCTATAACTTTCTCAAATCAACCTCCAAAATTGGCGGTTCTATTTTAAAGGGCAGACTCAACCATTTGTAAACTTAGGGTTTCCAGAAAGAGTATAAAAACTCATCAGAAATTGGTCTTGTCTTGTGGGAATAGTGCGCCAACCAAACAACAAAACTAGTTTCCAGCAGAATTATCAAATTGCCAGGAAACTCAACTTTCGAGAGATGGGGCCTCGTCCTTATCAACAAATAGCCAAGATGAGACTTTGGTGGGTTGGTAGATGACAAGTTAACGTTCGCTTCCAGAGGATGCTGATATCGCAAACTAGAGACTTTGGAAAAATACCTTCGTATATCGAGACAATCATTCGACAAATCGACAACTGAGTTAAAATTTAACCTGATTGACATTGATTGGTGATAATTCTTCAATCAGTCGGCACATTCTAAACCCAATAACCGCGGTTTATTCGGAATTACTCTAAGAAGGGAAAAATCAGGAATTTTGTGCTGAAGAATTTTATAGTTTGAAGTGGGAATTTTTATATACGATTGAGTTTTGAAGCATTCACAAGTTAGTGTCAACAAAAATGTTATTTGGAAATTTTTAGTTTGTGAGATATAAGACGAAATGTGCTTTAGGGTTTATCAACTGTGCGCGAGGCGTTTTTATAGGTTTTCATTGAAAGACCTAATAGCACAGAAATTGCAAGACTGGGGACTTCAGAGTCTGAAGTCTAAATCAATGAGATCACTCATTAGATACATCTATGGATAGATTAATTATTTGTTGTCTGATGCCAAGTAAGTCTAAAATGACATTTTGGATAAAGAAAAATAAACAGTTCTCAGGACGGTGCAATAATATTGTTATGAGCAAATCCCAATAAAACTTATATCAAATTTCATCATATGGTGAACTTCTTGAATTCATCAGAATTATCATTTTAGATTTTACTATCAATTTTTGCTAATAACATTTTTAATACTTAAACTCCATGTTTCATGTTTAGACTGACACGTTTCGTGATTAAGGGCAGATAACTCATTGTAGACTCAAAATAAACTTTCACTTTCCATATTTTTGCTGCCAATATTAAAGTCAAATGTAGGCCCAACAGATAAGCTGTAGCCCTAAAATAAGAGGATTTTAAGGTAAACATAACACTGAATAGGCTATGTAGTCAATTTTCTAATTCTACTATCTTCATGCTGATCTGCATTTTTTCAGTTTTTTCATTGACCCAAAACAGCAGAGTTTGGCCTAATTCAGTAGAACTTCCACTGCAGAGATTTTGCTGCCGTGATATTTTAGCATCCCTAGAAGTCCTTCCTATTAAATCACAATGAGCAGAGTCCTCTTTCATTGCTCTGAGAAAACAAGATGGAGCTAAAATGACTCCGTGAGTGTTGAACTCCACCTCTTTGTCATTCCAATAGCTGCTTATTTTTTAATGATTGTAATAATGTAAAAATGAAGTATCAAAGCTTCACTAAGTTTTTTCATTATCATGATCAGTTTATAAATCTTGTTTTTGATTTCCATTACTAGTAGAGAAGGATATTGATTTGGAAAAAAAATAGGTGAAAATAAAAGGATATAATAATGAAGAGTTTACATCAGTGTAGTAATGAACAATGGACGTCTATAGAGAAGAGATTGTCTCATGCTATAGTTTATATGGACAATGACTGTGCAGAATTGTTACATTGGAATGGTGGAATGACACGATTTTTACAAGCTGGTGCTAAAGATGTTCGAGAACTCTCATCCTTTGAGGTATGGTAGCCTTCATTTTTCTATTTAAGATGAAAAAAAATGTTTTAAAGGAATTGTAAAGAGATTTTCAAAAGTTTTTATGTGTACCAGGAACACAGTTAGCACCATTTTGTACCATCTTCAGTCAGACATTTGTGAATCTTGCATTTCAAGTGTTCACTTAGTCACTTTGTGATAGTGAAGTTTAAGTGGTAGGCGTAAATTGATTCTATTAGTGTCCCTAAGTACATGCTTATATGATGTTGGTTGTGAACTTATACAAGATGTTGGTTGTGAAATTATACTTGATGTTGGTGGTGAAATTATACAAGATGTTGGTCTTGAAATTATACAAGATATTATTATACAAAGTTTTTATTTTTTTTTAATAAGGTTTGTGGAATAATTATACAAGATATTATTATACTACGTTTTTATTTTTTTAATGATGTTTGTGGAGAAATTATACAAGATATTATTATACAAAGTTTTTATTTTTTTAATGATGTTTGTGGTGAACTTATACAAGATATTATTATACAAAGTTTTTATTTTTTTGAATGATGTTTGTGGTGAAATTATACAAGATATTATTATACAAAGTTTTTATTTTTTTTAAAATGATATTGGTGATGAAATTATACAAGTTATTATTATACAAAGTTTTTATTTTTTTGAATGATGTTTGTGGAGAAATTATACAAGAAACTATTATAGAAAGTTTTTATTATAGAGTGAAAGTGATGTAAAAGCTATGTTTATATCAAGTACACCATTATATGATGTTTGTGGTGAAATTATACAAGATATTATTATACAAAGTTTTTATTTTTTTGAATGATGTTTGTGGAGAAATTATACAAGAAACTATTATAGAAAGTTTTTATTATAGAGTGAAATTTATGTAAAAGCTATGTTTATATCAAGTACACCATTATATGATGTTTGTGGTGAAATTATACAAGATATTATTATACAAAGTTTTTATTTTTTTGAATGATGTTTGTGGAGAAATTATACAAGAAACTATTATAGAAAGTTTTTATTATAGAGTGAAAGTGATGTAAAAGCTATGTTTATATTAAGTACACCATTATATGATGTTTGTGGTGAAATTATACAAGATATTATTATACAAAGTTTTTATTTTATTATAGAGTAGAAGTAAAAGTGATGTAAAAGCTATGTTTATATTAAGTACACTATTATATGATGTTTGTGGTGAAATTATACAAGATATTATTATACAAAGTTTTTATTTTATTATAGAGTGGAAGTAAAAGTGATGTAAAAGCTATGTTTATATTAAGTACACTATTATATGATGTTTGTGGTGAAATTATACAAGATATTATTATACAAAGTTTTTATTTTATTATAGAGTGGAAGTAAAAGTGATGTAAAAGCTATGTTTATATCAAGTACACTATTATATGATGTTTGTGGTGAAATTATACAAAGTTTTTATTTTATTATAGAGTGGAAGTAAAAGTGATGTAAAAGCTATGTTTATATTAAGTACACTATGATATGATGTTGGTGGTGAAATTATACAAGTTACTATTATAGAAAGTTTTTATTATAGAGTGGAAGTAAAAGTGATGTAAAAGCTATGTTTATATCAAGTAAACTATTATATGATGTTTGTGGTGAAATTATACAAACTATTATATAGTTTTATTATAGAGTGGAAGTAAAAGTGATGTAAAAGCTATGTTTATATTAAGTACACCATTGTATGATGTTGGTGGTGAAATTATACAAGATATTATTAAAGCCAGTCACTTCCAGTATGTAGTTGTAGTCAGTACAATAGGATCACATGTACATCTCTATCATAAAACTGGTACATTAGAAGGCAATGAACAAACTCTGATGGAAAAATTTGAAGAAAACTTATTAATCTGGATGGGCAATGTGGTAGGTTAATCATTATTATCAATGTTGAAATTTCTTTTTGCTTACATGCAATCAGGCACAAGGCTGAGGGAATTTTACAAAGACCGTGGCATCATTAGCCTACTTATTTTCAATTTCCAACTAATGGACGTCTTATTGTCCTATCTGCAGAAATAGATGCTACTTCCATGTCAAACCTTCTGAACTACATTACTGACAGAGGGGGAACCCCATTGACTTATCTGAAGATATAATCTTGACCTGTGCCAGGATTGGACCTTTGATCTTTAGGTTATGCTAATGTTATTTTCTGTTTTGGAAAATCGACCCTTTTCTGAAATATTTACAACCAAGGCAGAAGTGTTCATAAAGCTGATGTTAAGGAAAAAACAAAAATTGACTTACAATATTACAAAAAACTCATATATTGTTGAACACAGGGAGATTTAGTAACTATACTTGTTTTTATTAAGAATAAGATTCCACCCCCACCCCCTTTAAAATGTAATCCCTTTAAACTCCATTATTCCTGATAGTGACTATGTACTAATATATATTATTTTATTATTATTATAGAATTATACAGCTGAAGTAGTAATAATACCATTATTTACTGCTCAGATTACCAATAATCTATTTGTAACACCAGCGTTTTCCTCACTCTACCCTCTACTATCTACTGATATCAAGAGAGTTGAACTATCATTTAATAAAACTCTTACAAATAAGGTCAGTTTAAATATATAAATTAAAAAGTTTTTTTTTGGAAGAGCAAAGATATGTGTCTGATTGTTGTTTTGTGGGAGTTTCTTTTCTTTGTATTATTTTCTTTTTGAAAATTACAAAAATTTTCAGGTGCAAATTTTATTGATTGCTTCCTGAAAACTGAATGATTGGGGAGCTAGCTACCCTTCCTCAGCGCTATACCTTTGCTATATCTCTAACTCTAAGATTGATGTTTTATAGGATTTGTTCAGTATCTTCCAATAATAACAAATCTACTGATACTACATCATTGTGTATACAGTGTACTAATATTTTCTAATTCCAATTCTACGGTCAACAAATTTGTCATCCTCTTTATACTTCATAATGTTCTTGCAATAGCGTTTTAGCTACAGTATTTGACAAATGAACTTTGAACTTTTTAATATTGTAAAATGTGGATGTTTTCTTATTTGATTCCAATAATATGTAGATTCAAATAATATTTTCAGGCTGAGAGAAAAACATTTGATCAATTAAGTGATATTGAAAATGGTTATTTACCAAAACCTTATATAACTAATTTAAAGGTAAGTGATTGTATATGACAAAAGTATTGAAAACTGTTCTGTAAGCTTAATCTGTTAATTTTGAGGGATCATTCAAGCAAACAAATTCAAATAAGGCAGTGTCTCAAGCATATGGCTTACTAAGATTCATTTATGTGAAATATTAATCAAATTTATTGAGTTTTTTCTTACTGCAATATAGATGTTTGTTTCGTCATTGAATGGCTTATTGGAAAAACTGGATGTAAGAGAAGATATCTATTATATTGGTCATACCAGTCGTTTTGTAGCTCATGAATTAGATATTTATTCCCCTGCAAGAAATAGAAGGAAAGTAAGTAAATTTTGCAAAGTATGCTCTTATTCATCTTACCTTGTGACTAATGTTTTTCTGCATGAATGATAAATATTCATTTATCATGTTCTGTTAGCTTATCATGTTCTTTTTTAATTTGCCTATTCCTCATTTATTTCTCCAGTTCTGGCCATGAATTCATTGATTTTGATGTTCATTATCATGTTCTTTTTGTTTACTTATCTATATGATGTATTTTATCATCTTTATTTATAAGTATCTAAAGAAAGAGCATCAATAGTCTTTATTAATAGAACATTAGATTTATCATCATGTTCAACAAGTTGATTATGTTCTTTATTTATAGGTAGCTAAAGAAAGAGCATCAATAGTCTTTATTAATAGAACATTAGATTTATCATCATGTTCAACTAGTTGATTATGTTCTTTATTTATAGGTAGCTAAAGAAAGTGCATCAATAGTATTTATTGATAGAACATTAGATTTATCATTATGTTCAACTAATTGATTATGTTCTTTATTTAAAGGTAGCTAAAGAAAGAGCATTAATAGTGTTTATTGATAGAACATTATAATGTTCAACTGGTTGATTATGTTCTTTATTTATAGGTAGCTAAAGAAAGAGCATTAATAGTGTTTATTGATAGAACATTATAATGTTCAACTAGTTGATTATGTTCTTTATTTATAGGTAGCTAAAGAAAGAGCATCAGTAGTATTTATTGATAGAACATTATCATGTTCAACTAGTTGATTATGTTCTGTTTTTATAGGTAGCTAAAGAAAGAGCATCAGTAGTATTTATTGATAGAACATTATCATGTTCAACTAGTTGATTATGTTCTGTTTTTATAGGTAGCTAAAGAAAGAGCATCAATAGTATTTATTGATAGAACATTAGATTTATCATCATGTTCAACTAGTCAATATGATTGTTTATTAGATGAGATAATGAACATACTACCACGTGTTCCTGGTCATCATAATGATGTTATGGTAGATATGTCCAGTTTGTGCTCTGTTCATGGGTAAGTAAATTCTGTTTCTTCAATTCTTAATTACATTTCAGTTTTCTTTCGAAATATGGGACATGTAATCAGTTACCCTTTTGTAGAGTTCACATGCTATTTGAGTAGTTTTATTCACACTATTGTGGTAAGAAACACAGGCTTTCCCTCTCGATTTTGGAGAATGTCAGAAGACATCTAGTTGTTCTACTTTGGGCTACAGGCTTTGAAGGGTATGATGTTACTGGAAATTTTTTCAGAGGTGGAAATGTTTTGGAGATAAGAAAGTGGGAAAGTCCCCATCGTTTATTAGCCAAATACCATCTAAGTATCCAAACAGAAGCAGGCAAGGATCAGAACCTCAAGACTATACAATTGTTGAAATATTAAAACAGAACCTAAAAATCATGTTGTAACTCAGAGTTTCATGCTATGTGATCTTCAGACAACTGACCTATTTTAGCCGGTGTCCCCACTGAAGTTGGACAAGTAGCACATGTTTTATTAGGTTCTGTTGCATTATTTCTGTATCGCTTTATGTCTACGATTGACATATTGAGCTCTATTTTAACATTGAAAAATTTTTGTTTTTATTATATATAAGGGTATATTATTTTCAGTGATGTTGGTAAAACTGTTATTGTACCAGGATCACTATCAAGATCTATTAATACAACTCCACAGTCTTCTATATTAAACTCTTTAGTTAATGTGAAAATAAAGGTAAGAAATACTATGTTTAAAAAGTCTGGCTTTGTTCTTTCCTGGATGATAAGTTATTGCCCTTGATTTGAGAGTATGCTAGGTATGCATTGATAACTGCATCCTTTGATATTGCATATGAATTATTGAATATACTATTGATTATAGGAAGGTTTAATGGATGTCAATAGACAGTTAGTAGAAGCTGCATCAAGTGAGAAATTACCTGTAAAATTAACTGGAAAACCTGGTCGTATTACTCATCAACAATTATCATCAACATTACAATTATTTCAGTAAGTATTTAAGGCCTAAATACTATACTTAGATTTTGAAGGTTTTCTAAAAAATTTCTGTGTATCAGAGCTACTGATAGCATCAATTTCCACCTTTCCAATTTTCAATCAGACGTCTGTGGTTCCTGCAACTTCACTAAATCTAAATGATTGCTGACATCACTAATCACGAAGAGCCTTATGTGATGAACCATATTTTGCAATTAGTGACGTCATCAAACAGTTTTAGTTGAATTGCAAGAACCACAGACCTCTGACTAAAAATTGGAATGGTGCAAATCGATGCAACAATTTGTACTTCTTGAGGCTTTATATATTATATAGGAGCCATTAATGTTTCAGGGTTCAATGCCAACATAGTTCAATGAAGTAATTAAATTGTTCAACGCATTTTCTCCAAGACACCAGAAAGGACTGATTTATATACATTTTTTTAAATGCTTTGCGTATTTTTCAGGTCCAATTACAGAGCTATACAGCCAAATTTAGATATTTTACAAGTAGCCATGGCAACTGTTCAATCACTATCTAAGAAAACCAGTCACCATGACAACATAGTTGGAATAGAGAAAAGATTATTACAAATGGCCGATGATAAAGATAGTCCCAGTTTACTGTTAGAAATATTGAAAATATTAAAAACAGAATCTGTAAAACCTGTCTCTGAAAGGTAAGATGTCTCCAAATGAATTCACCATGATAGAAGGGGCGACAAAATTGTATTTCTTAATCAACTTGGGCCTGAGTCTGCATTGGCCATTTCTGTCCAATTACCAAAAACATGTTGACGCTTGGGACCTGAAAATTTGAAATTTAGTTTGACAATTTGAATTAAAGGGACAGAGGCAAACCACCACCTGAAAATGGTGAATCTTTCTCTTTAAATACCTTATCACTAAGCAGATACAATCCAACTTAATACTGGTGTGAAATGGTAACATTGATCCCTGCTTGTACCATTGGTAGTTCACCATTTTCATGAGCTTTTATGATGAAAAATAATTGGATATAGAGCTCATAATTCACTATCGTTCTGCCAATGTAAGCTTGTATATGAAATTCAATTGTCGTTTTTTTTCTTCAGAGATTTCAGTTTAGATGACATCCTAGCTTTGTTAATTTATTCCTATTCTTTATGTGGTGCTGACTTTATTGAAGAAGAAGAATCACAATTTCAGGTAAAGAATTCTTTATTATATGATAGCTTATATATTAAAGAGATTGTAAAGAGGTTTTCTAAATTTTGTATTTGTATTGATGACATTGATAGCATCGGTTTGCACCATTCCAATTTTTAATCAGACGTCTGTGGTTCCTGAAATTCCACTAAAACTAAGTGTTTGGTGACGTCACTAATTTCTAAGGGCCTTATGTGATAAAGCAGATTTTGTGATTAGTGATGTCATAAAACATTTTAGTGCAATTGCAGGAACCACAGACGTCTGATTGAAAATTGAAATAGAAACTGATTGTGTACTTTATGGCATTTGATATTGTATTTGTATTAAATTATGATAGACATTGAAATTCTCAATTGAATATATATTACTAATGATATCATCTAAAAAATCAATATAACATTCTATTATATAATTACAGTAGGCATTGTTATTATCACTAGGTATAAGGAAATTGGATTCACTGAAATTAATACAATATTTCGCGTTAAATTTCACTTTGCAATCAAACGCTATATCGCTAGTGGTGACGCCAGTAGGGGTACAGGGTGGGCATTTGGCCCCCATAGAAAAATTATTTGCATCCCCAACTGTACCCCCAGTTTATTTTCAACAAATCAAAAAATATGATTTTTATACTTTTTGCCCCAAAATATGTGTCCGAATGCATCAAATAAATTCAATTTTCGGAAAAAATTTGGGAGAACCCTTCAGATGCTCGATGAGAGGCTTGCGACTATGATGCATTTATAGAGCTGCTGCATTTTGAATTTCAGCCTCGAAAGTTGTCCCCCTAATTTGTCAGTTTGCCCCCTATTTGTACCCCCAGTCTCAAGAGGCTAGTGTCGGCACTGTAGATCACAATGTATAATTATTGGTAGATATCACAATAGCAAGTGTTAATAATAGTGATAATCAATTATTATATATATTTTACAGGAAGAATTGATCAATGTTATTGTACAAGATAAAGATAATTTATCTCCTGCTGTTAAATCTATAGGTTAGTTATTCTTTTAATATCTTCATATGTATTCTTCTTTATCTCCTTCTTAAAGGGACAGATGCCATATTTTTTTACCAATCATACCTTCAGCCAATCAGTAATAGTGTTCACAGCTCACCGTCAAAATTTAGCCTTCAAATCCGTGTGTGTCCAAAATTATCAGTGTTTGAAAGTTAAAAAGCCAAGTCTTTTCTTGAGACACTGTCATATATAGAAAAGACAAATATAGAAATAGGAAAAGAAATTCATAGTTTGAAGTATTTTTAAAGGGATTAAGCGATTTTCATACATTTCTAGTACTTCTGAAGACTATTTACATATATATATTCAACCCCCTCAACCCCCGGCAACTGTCCCTTTAAGAATTGTAGGAAAAAGAGGAATATAACAGCTTTTTGGGGTTACACTATCCCACAATTCATCATTATTAGCAAGAAACAGACATAACATTACTTGCTTTGATTGGTTAAAAATAGCATCATCAGAATTTGACTTCAGTGGACAACTTGTAAGATTATAATAGAAAATAAAAATATAATTCATCCATGATCTGAAGACATTTTTTTCAAAACGATGTTCAATTGAATTTTGCAAACAATGTTTTCAGTTGGAGAAACAGTCAATAAGAGTATAGTGATGGCTATTGTGGAAGATGTATGGAGTAAATTGGTAGCTATAGGTACAGCTAGAGAAGATCTAGATCAATTCAGGTCAGTTTATTATTACATATTCATATACTATATAATTGTGAATATAATGCGCACCTGTTTTAATACTCCTGTAATAACTCACATGATTATCTCCTTGGAACATCAATGTTGAAGTCACTTTTTTCTTGTGAAAATGTTGCTTAAAATTGTGAAAATAAACAATGGATTTCTTTCAGTGTGATATTTATCATGACAGGCTTTACCAAATAATTCAATTTTCACCCTTGCTAGTTGGTGTATGTTGCTGAAAGGAATCTTAAAGAGGTTTTGTGAGGCATCCATGATAGCTTTATTTGCATCATTGAATTTTTCAGTTCTATAATAGAAAGAGGGGGAGTTATGAGTCCTACAGAATGTAAACCATTATTAAATCAGATTGTAGAAGATATTGTTAATCCTAGTAAACCTGATCTTATAGATATTAAACATAAACAAAGTGGAATGAAAGATCTGCTCAAATCAGGATTCGGGTAGGTTTTTAAAGGTTGTTCTTATTCTAATCTGATATTTTCTATGACAGGGGATTTTCCAACAAGTTTTCCATAATTCCATAATTTTGTTTGATAGTACTTTCCCTCGTTGTACACTGATGGCCTTATGTGTAGGCTTCTTCCTGAGTTGGTAACAACTGTTCAAAAGACTGTTTGCTGGTGAAAAAAAAATTATTTTAAAAATTATTTGGGAAGATAACGACATGGGTTCACAAGGATCTTTTCTACCACCTTGTCGGACTATCCTTGGTCAAACCTTGGTCAAACCTTGGTTATACAATAAGAACTTTCGTTCGTAGTCCGCTAGTCTAATATGCCTTGGAAGGCACCTATTGTTTGCGTCACATTATCCCGTCGCTGGAAAGGGCTATCACGTGATTGGTTAAAACAGAGGTCACGCAATGGTTAACAGAATGAAAAATCAAGAAGGAAAGTGTTAGACCTTACCGTAGTGGTGACGTACAAAGCTAATAAAACATTCGAAACGAAACTAATAAAATACGAACGGAAGTAGGTCTAATTTTAATTAGACTGTCTTAATGCTTGGCATTAATTTTTACCAAATCAACTGTAACCATTTAGACCTTGGTTGACTGGAATGATTATAAAAGATGTCAATTGTGTATATATTTTGTATTTGTGTAGATTATTTATGACAGTTTATAAACCACGACCTAGTGACCATCCATTGTTAATATTGTATATTATTGGTGGAATAACTCCTACAGAAGTTAAACATATACAAGATATTGTCAACAAAACTAAACCAGATATACAGGTAAGGTCTCCATTTAAAGAAAGGACATACTTGTATATAGAAAATGAAATTTCTAGTTTGAGGTATATTTCATACATTTCCAGTATTACTGAAGACTATTTACATATATTCAAGACCCAATTCAATCGCCGTTAATGGCGAATCATAGCCTTTAAGTGAGCTTTAATTTGTATTATATATTTCAGGTACTAATAGGCAGTACGAGATTATGTACTAAAGAAGATATTACGTTATCTTCATTTTCTTCAGATAATTTATCTTTTAATAAATCTTAGATTCTCAACATCTTGTGTTTATTTTGTGGGTTCTTCAAACAAATGGTATATGAACGCAAGACTTTCCCCCTATTTTGAAATCCTTGGGCAAAAGAGACTGGTTCAGCAACCATGGGCCCCACCGCTAAGAGGCCCGCACCACCAGAAAAAAAATCCATAAGAAAATGTGTTTAAAAAAATTACCGGGGGAGAGGCCCCAAACCTCCCACGTCCCCACTCATCTAGTTAAGGCACTGACTTTGCCGGTTCTATAACCTTAAGAAATTAACGTCATTGGCAAGATCGATCTGTAGTCTACAACTGGAACATTTTGCTACCGAATTTCAACGAAATGCGAATCAAAATTTAACTTTATGAGCCAAAGCTGAAATTTGGTGTGATAAATTGCTGCTCAAATCTTGTCTGGCCTGGTCTGGTACTGTATTATATACAATTCTTAAGTCCCTACTCGGCCCCAGTGGCGTTTCTAACAGAAAAGAGGCTAACCCGGCTTTGCCCCCTTCCCCCCTCCCCACTTTTATTTGTTATCATTTTGTATAGTGAAAGAATGGCCTGAAGCCCTCCTGGAAAATTGTGTGGCCCCTGCGCGGCACCCCGACCTTATGCTTCCTAGAAACGCCACTACTCGGTCCCGACACCTAATGTCGCATACAGACGCCACTAATTCTAACCCCCTCCCCATACCACACGTCTGTAATTTGCCAAGAAAATCTTAAACCACTTTGCTTTCTGGACAAGCTCAATTAACGATAGAAATCAGAGAGCTATCAGTGAATAATATACTGTATATATAGATGTAGTTAGCAAGTATTATGCTATATATATGGTCAATATGCAATATAGGTAACAGGTGTTTTAACTTCAGTTGACTATAAATATCTCTATAGTCCGAAACATTCTTATTAATTAGTGTCTCAGCTGAATCTAACTTACACAAATGTAAATGACAAAGGACTGTTTCTACGGGGCTATCGAGCTACCCAGGACTGGGGCTAGCCAGTATCTTTCCCCCTCCCCTCTCTTTCTCAAAATGCCACAGCTTTCAAGGGTACTGGTGGCAGGCTGACTTAATTGAGGGGACAACTGTCGTGGTGGAGATTCAAAATTCTGCAACTCCGAGTTACTGCATAGGCTCATGAAGCATCTGAGACGGTTCTCTCTCTCTTTCTCTCTCGAAAATATATTTTTAAAATAAAATAGATTTGATGGATTCTGACACATATTTTTGAGGCTAAAACGTATAAAATCACGTTTGATTTTTTAAGAATGAAGTGGAGGTGCAATAGGGGGTTCAAACCATTTTTCTGTCCCTACTCTACCTACCTGTACCCCTACTGGCGCCGCCTCCGCTCAGGGATATAGATAACATGTGAACACAATAAAGTAACCGTTCGAGGTGTGCAATGAGCGTCTGAAATGCATTGCGGTCGGGAAACAGGTATATATTTACACACATTACATTCAATTATGGAAGTTTTCGAGATTTTAGTGAATACATAAAACATCCATATGATATCATTAGAGTAAATATTATCTATGGTATTTCAGACATTTTCGGACTTATTCGAGTTCTCACTATTTGACATATTATTTACAGTACGTAAACAATAGGGTCGAGTCCTAGGCCTAAATATAACATTACATTAAAGTCTACAGTTTCAAATACAAGCTTTCAATTAGGGCAATACATTTTAGTATTATTAGACATCATGCATGGATTACTTTCAGTGGTATAGGCCTTATACCTGTCTTAACTGGTCGTTAACTGCCTATTATAGTGGGATATAGCAGCTTGGATTATCATCTAATATGGAGAACGTTGGATACCGTCACGCCTTACGTAGGGATATAGATATAAGACGAAGACATCACGATTTGAAAGGTAGGCCAATTTTCATCAGATGTGAATTTTGTGGAACAGTGGTGCTCTTCTTCCTCGTGACACTGGAGATGTAAAAACCTTATTTATTTTCGACCAGATGCGTAATTTGGCCCATATTCATTGATTATTGGTGCAATAATTCTTCTGAAGACTATTTACATATTCAAAACTCAAATCCACCACCGAAAAGGCAAAGCTTTCCCTCTGAAGAGTTTTACGTCCTACTCATGGGTGATTCAAGGCCTAATTCATGAAATATGATTGTCAATGCAGGTGAAAAACTTTGTATGGAAATTCAATACCTTTCAGATCAGCAACAAAAAATCCAGCTAAAAACTTTTACCAACTGGATCAACCATACTCTTAAAAAGGTAGGTGTCGACTAAGCAATATTTGCTTTGGTGAAATATCCCGCAATTCCGAATGCATCGCGATATGTATTGGAATTTAGTCTAGGAAGGTGAAGAAATAAAGTTGGCGCATTTTGAATTCAACCTCGACGTTATCCACCATTGAGTCAGTCTGTCCTATTTGTACCCCAAGTCTTGGAAGGCTGGCGTCGCCACCGGCACTATGTTTAAATCCCTCGGGAAATGGCCTTTGCAGGATCCCAAACTTTGAATTGTTGCAATGAAATTATTAGTTAAGTCTGAAACCAATTTTAATTTCATTCTTGACAATCTTAAAGTGCCGGGATAACCCAGACTACATAATTTGAATGGGACGTGTTATGAAATGGTTTTAAACACTCTGATACTAGTATTGTGATGATGTTCCTTTTTCTCTATACACCATTCATCAATTCATAATGGCGACATTTCAGAATGGTTCCAGTAGAAGAGTGACAGATATACTAGAAGAGGTTAAAGATGGAGTTATATTATTAGAGATAATACAAATACTGACCAAAGAAAAAGTGGTATGGGTTTTCATGCAATATATAATATTGTTTCTGGCTTACCACACGAAACATCCTTGATACAAACAAATCATTTGTCTGTGTGTATAATGTGGGTTTAAAACGTGTGTATGTGACATCATAGAAGCTTCTTCAAGTGGATAATAACAGATATATACTACTGCAACTTAACACTATACCACATCCCCCCCCCCCCCCCACCCCCGAACAATCAAGTCTGGGTCTATAATAAGCATAATCACCTTTCTTCGTAGTAGTGGACTCTCGTGTTGATTATCATTACCCGGTTTTAAGACATATATCCCCCCCCCCTCATCCAATTTTTGCAACTAATGCCGAATTATCGACGACAAACCTTATATTATTTTCAGACAAAAGGGAGACCAAGTTCAACGAAAAGACCGTTACAGATTAACAATGTTTCTACAGCTTTAGATTTCCTTAGTACAAAGGGGGTAAGAGATCAAACACTTATTTTTTGTGGAATCGCAGGAACCACATACGTCAGACTGAAAATTGGAATGATGCAAATAAATGCTAACAGTGTTCAAATTTTAGAAAACCTCTTTACAATACCCTAAACCTTGAACAAAATTTGTTATTGGAAAATGTTTACTGTTTTGTCTCTAGATAAGATTAGTGAATATAAATTGTTCTGATATAGTAGATGGTAAACCAGCTATAGTTCTAGGTTTAATCTGGAAAATTATTCTCCATTTACAGGTAAGAATAGTGTGGAATTTTTTTACGAATTCTTTTAGTTACCGGCCCTGCTCATAAACGTTTACAGGAGTCTGTTATCTCTTGGAGAACCAATATAATTTCATTGAACCAAAAATATCACTCAAAATACCATTGATTTCGTCCAGAAATGGATTTGTTGTTATACCGTATAACTGCGAATATAATGCACATGTGTTTATAATGCGCACCCCGTCCTGACCTCCATGAAATTGGGAAATATTCATTTTTTCAGGTAATGCGTTCCCGTAATAGATGCTTCTATTGTCGTTGCACCGTTCATGGTTTCTACCATGACATATAACCACATACGAAACTACGTATGGTTCTTACATGGAAATAACACTAACGAACGTAGTTTTGAATACCTACCTTGACTTAATAAGTCTAATTTTGATGAAAGCTAACATATTTCAACAAAGCCTTCAAATCACATTTAGGGTTAAGAAATGGCTTTAAATGTGATGGCTTTGTTAAAATATTTTAGCATTTATCAAAATTCGACTTATTTAGTTGAGAAAGAGATTCAATATGGTTGTGAACTTCGTTCGTGTGAGATATCCATGTAAGAATTGTACATTGTTTCGAATGCTATAACCATTGAAACTATCCGTTAGGTGATAATTGTTTCGGGTGAAACATTCTTGTATCTTTATTTTGTTGCTGGTCGTCATGATCTATATTGTTGATAAATATTTCGAGCAGGTGTTTCCCAGACGAATATTCATATGATTTTAGATAGTTACTTATAATATTAATGGTTTTTAACTAAGTTAACATTAGAAAGCAGCGTGAGCTTATGTTAATATTTACTATGAATTGACTCTACTTGAAATTTGAATAAGTCAAGCTGGGCAAAGTAAAATAATATCATCTTCACAATGTTTTTACGAATTGCGACTAATACCTTGACTGTAATAGACACCTTTCTTGTAGTTTGTAAAAGATGCGCTTTGATTTGATTTGTACGCTAGCAGGTATAGACAATCTGAGCCCTCGCAGAAAGGCTGTAAACAGTTTGGCTGCGAGTATTATTTGGGGCTTTGGTGACTGTATTCGCTAGCGTATAATACAAGAAAGGTGGTTATTGCAGTCAAGGTATTAAACGCAGTTCGTAATAGCTTGTTATTTTAAAGATGACATCATTCCCTCCAATATTTATGCTTCTTGATATACCAAAAAAACTTGCTAGAAATAGATCAAATGGATCTCTTTAAGGTTATTTTGTATTTGTATATAGATCGCCGTATCGTAACAGAATATGTCAAATAAGATACCGGTACAAATAATTTGACTTTTTAATTTTAGATTCAGAATACACTAGATCGTGGTGGATATAATATAACTGGTCTATTTAATTACTTTACTGGAAGGTACTTTCGTTTTAATCATATGAATAACGTCGTGGTTATGTGTCTGTCCACATCATTTAGCAAGGGCATTCACATGTACATTGTATAGCCTCTCTGCGACCAGATGCCCAGCACTTGCACCATATAGGCCTATCCTATAATCAGAAGATTGGTTTGGGTGTTGGGACACTATTGATATGAATAAGCATTGATACTAGTATATTAGAATGTGCATCTAGATGTTTAGTGTCCTCTCGCGAACAATGATCTCTGGGGGAATTCTCGATTAAAAAGTAATAGCGTCTTCACCTATTCACGTTTCTTAAGCACCGGTAGCATAATTATTGTTTATGTTATATATTATAAACAATATGCTACCGGTGCTTAAGGAACATGTCACTTGTTATGCTAATCAACCGCAAAGCACCACTGAAAGTGGGCTGGATATACAAGTCATATGTGGTAGACTAGATTTTATATAAACAAGGTATTTGATTTGATTTGATTTAATATGTGGCATAGAAGAAATGATTCTTAACAATATCTTCAGATCAAGGGTTGCATTTAATAATCGCTTTGTGCAAATAAGCTAAACGAGTCAGTCATAGAAAAACATTAATTGGAACAACGGTAGATCTGGATATTAATCAGATCGGCATTGACCGCTTTCTATGGAATCATGACCCCTCCACATTGATTACTTCTAGGAATACAGTATTAGACGCTAAAGATTTTGGACGATCGTGGAGAAATGGTGTACTATTTAGTAAACTGATAAATACTATCCAACCAGGATTAGTTGATACAGATGTCATGGTTAAAGAAAATAACCAACGAAATCTTCAGATGGCTTTTAATATAGCAGAGGAAAAATTAGATATACCCCGCTTATTAGACCCTGAAGGTATGCAATATTACTGCAATGATATGGAAGTACGGTACTTAATTAAAGATGGGTTTCTAATGAATTATCATGTATTCTTAATCATATCAAATTATGATTTCTTGCATTTAATTAAGAGTTTTAACCAATCATAATTGACCATGTATGTACAGTCTGGAAAAACAAAAAAAGACTTTTTGACCTTTCTTGATCGGTCACTCATTGGAATTCTGCTGATAATGCTCTTTTAATTTTGCTTTATTACTATTAACTAAACTTTATTTTATTCCATTTCACTTAATTTTCTATCGTTTCATTTTTCATTTAATAATACTTTCATTTCGTTTCATTTAATTTTACTAATTATATTTTCATTTAATTACAGATATAGATGTAGATAAGCCTGATGAAGTTTCTATAATAACTTATGTTGGTGAATTCATTAAGAAATATCCTCAAGGTGTTGACGGCACATTAAAGGTAGAACTATACAGATTGATTTTAACTTTTATTTTATATTATACTATACTATTGTATTGATTAACTACACTGACAGTTATTATGTAAATGACATAAGAAATGAATGTAAGAATTCTATTTGAGTTGTAGCTCAGTAGGTTTGAACGTTGAAATGTTGGAGTCATTAAAGTAATTGTAAAACGTTTTCCAAATTGTTTATGTATATCAGTGAAACGGATAGCATCAATTTTACCATTCCAATTTTCAATCAGACGTCTGTGGTTCCTACAATTCCACTGTTACAAAGTGTTTGATGACGTCACTAATCACAAAGGGTCTTATGTGATAAAGTATATTTTGCAATTAGTGACGTCATCAAACACTTAGTTTCAGTGGAATTGTAGAATTCACAGACTTCTATCTAAAACTTGGAATAATTCAAATTGATGCTATCAGTGTCCCTGATACACACATGAAAAATTCAGAAAAACTCTTTACAATCCCTTTAATTACTTGATTGCTTTGAACAAAATTAAAGAGGTTGTCGAAAGGTTTTTCCAGCTTTTTTTATGCATATCAGCACCATTTCTTGTACTTGCACATTCCAAATGTCTGTGGTTCCTGTAATTATAGAAATTCTTAACCGAATATGATGTCACTCTGGCAGAGACTACTTCAATTTATATAGGCATTGATGATAGCTAACAACAAAACGTACACAAGTTCTACATCGCCTCGTCATCTCCAAGAACTACCTTTCCACTATAGCAAAGATCTCCTTGTTGTATAATCCTTACAATCCTTGGTCGTTGAGGAAGTATTGAGTTCGTTTGCCAATGGGGTAGTATATTTATATCGGATAAATTTATAACTGTATTATTATTTTTCAGAAAACCTTACTAACTCGAGCTGAGAGATTGGGGAGTGCCGGAGATCATGATGTTGTAGATAGAAACAGTAATATTACGTCAAACCATCGTCGACAACCCAGCGAGCCAAATATTCTTCTTTACTCTTTAACTTTATTCTTTGTGTTTATATTTAGATATATATGGATTTTTGTTGTTATTGCTTTATTGTTATACGAAGTCAATAAAAGGTTATAGGTCATATATTCATCCTGCCGAATCACCTAATGCCACTCTGCCACTGGGATTGTCACTGATACATTCATTTTTTGAGATTCATGGCTGATGGTACATACTCTGAATTCTTGATCCACCTAGGCCTTAGTATAACACTCTGGTTTTCATGGGCCTAAATTTGATTGATTGAAAAATTCTAGGCCAATAAGATTCATTATAACAAAATATTGCACAAAAGTGTCTCGGCTGATGCAAGATGGTCGCTTATTGGTTAATTTTAGCATGGATATTTCCATTGACGCAGAAACACGATAATCAATCAACTCGGAAAGTAAAACATTGTGGGCCTATATCTAAATTTTGGCAGTTTTTGCAGTCTAATTAAAATTAGACCTAACTTCCGTTGGTATTTTATTAGTTCCGTTTCGAATGTTTCATTACTTATTAACTTTGTACGTAACCATTTCAGTAAGGTCTTACACTGTCCTTCTTGACTTTTCATTCTGTTAACCTTTGCTTGACCTCTGTTTTAACCAATAACGTGGTTGCTCTTTCCAGTGACGGGATAACGTGACACGAACAATAGGTGCATTTCGAGACTAGCGGACTTGATAAGCTAGTCTAATATGCTTCGGAGGTCAAGCAAAGGTTAATAGAATGAAAAGTCAAGAAGGGCGGTGTTAGACCTTACTTTGGTGGTTTAGCAGTGTTCGTTGCAGCTTTTTTGTTTTTGTTGAAATCATCATTTTAGAATAACCTTCGGTTATTTTCGTTTTCGTAAGTCGAAGGTTTTCAATGAAACCAATAGGCTAAATTTGCAATACCAAAAAGTGTTGACAAAGTTCATTAAGGTATTTTGTTATCATCAATGAAATATTTTGTTATCATCAATGAAATATTTTTTATATCTTATAATGAATTATAAATAGATATTTTTATATCTTATATGAATTATAAATAGATATTTTTATATTTTTCGCGGACTTCCGAGGAAATATTTAGATCTGTCAATATATTTTTTTAATGTCTTTAATTAAATGGCTCGATAACAACCTGTATTTTTCTATGAAATATTTATATATTTTCAATGAAATATTTATATATTTTTCTATGAAATATTTATATATTTTCAATGAAATATCTATAGATTTTTCAATGAAATATTTTGAGAATCTTTCAGTGACAAATTTGGTGCCTTGAAATATATAGGCCTATGTTTAAATCAATAAAGGATCTTGTTATCTTAAAATTTCTCAACATGCAATCCACTGTTAAGGTGCAAAAATGTTTTTAATTTTTTTTATTTGTTACTTCTTAATAATTATAATTCCATTGTTAGTCCTCTTTGTTATCATAATGTTATAAATAAATTCAACTTATTTTACTAAAAAAAAGTTGTTTTCAGGCAAAATATTCATTTAGATATCCATTACCTCCTTGAAAGAGAAGTTCGCTGTCGAGGGAAGGAACTCATTCAGACCTAGTCCAGAAGGTGAGATGGTCCACAAAATTGAGAAACGAAATGAAATGAATGGAGTTTTACGTCCTACTTTTCTGAACCATGTGGGCTAATGAAGACGGGCATTCGGGCAACGCCATGCAGGGTGTATGAGGGAAATTTTGCCAGGGCAACGACAACTGTCGAGGTATCTTTAACGTGCACAGTCTGTAGCACACGGGGCCTCGGTTTATTGTCCCATCCGAACGACTAGACACTTTTTCCATGTCAGCCCCGGTAAAGCCGAAATCGAAAAGGACATATGCCACTGTACTGACAAATTTCCCTCATCATACACTGGATTTCCCCTGTCCAGTATGGTGTAGAAAAGAATAACGTAGAACATCGCCCACTACCACTCACTACAAATGAATAAATAATTCGTTTACTGTTTGCCATTTTTTTGTACAGAGCCACAGTAAAGGTAGATAACTCGTGTAATTAAACACGTGGTTTTGTTTACAAACAAACCGACGTCAAAATGACTGAAATTTCAATTTCTATTGAATTCAGGTGATTATGTTTTCCATGGTTTCATATGTGAGATGAAAAAAGTTATTATAAGTGACGTACTAACTACGTATCTATAATTATGCTTATTTCTATTGACAAATATGTTTTTTTTATATGAGGTTAGGTGTCTGTGAAATGCAAACCTTAACCTGGTTTTGGGCACTTAGTTTATTTAATTGTCCAATGTGCGACAGGCTATGCAGTTTGAAGATTTCTTGACATTGGACAGAGAAGGATTATGCTACTGCCTTGGAAAAATTTGCCTCATTGCACTCGTCATGCTGTTTTCACTGTCACACTAGACCAATAAGGAGCAGACAACATTTTTTATTTTGTTCTATTTCAGTGGTGGTGCTGAATTGTTGTTTGACCATATTAAAAAACATCAAGTTTCTTTACCTCAACAAAATGATAAATGTAAGTTTTTGCAATTAAATTCTTAAAAATTATTTGAGTCCTCTTTAAAGTAGCAGACTAAAATTGATTATAATGCAATCTTTGTAATAAAGAATATAAATTCAAACAAAATGTAGATTATTTCCATCTCACATTTAGATTTATTTGTTTCAGGGACAATCAAGAAGTTATTAATATGGATGAAAGATAATTTATTAAAAGAAAGACCTGAATTGTTTTTACAAGGAGAAACAGTGTAAGTTTAGAAAATATAGTGTTTGTTATGTACCATGGAGGGAGGGAGGGGGAAGGAACTGCCGATGGGTCAGTTAGCAAGAGTCCTCCTCCCACCCCTACTGTAGGGTTCGAGGTTTAGCTTGATAGCTAAAGAGCCCAATAGTTAGAAATCAAATAATGAGTAAGCTAATGCCAATTTCACACTGCATGACATTGCATATCTATATCAACCTATTCCTTGTTCATGTATGAGAGAATTGAAGTCGCTTAAACTGAAGAGCTCTTGAAATCATAAAGAAACATAGCCCAAACATTGAGACTTACATTTTATTTTTTTATATTATCTAGACGACCTGGTATTCTAGTTTTAGTCAATGAAGCAGATTGGGAATTAGTGGTAAATATTTTCGTGTTTCTTTTTATGTTTTAATGTATTGCTAGTTTAAGTGGAGGTTAGAGTTTAAGCCTCAATGGAATGAGCAAAATACAAGTTAAAACATTCAATAATGAATTAGTGTTTAAGATAACTACGATTTTCAGAATCTATCGACATCTTCAAGAAAAACCTAAAAATTTTCTTGTTTAATGATTCTTGAGTGTTATTTCATTCACAGAAATTTATTGATCGAGGGTGCATTAGGAACTGAAAAGTAATTTGCGCCATGAGTGAACTATTATTATTATAATGCATTGTTAAAACTAGTTGTGTAACTTTTCTACACCTTCATTTTCTGTTCAAAAAGCGTCCCATCAAAATCATCAGTTCTCAAATAAGAATTGTTCACATTATAAATTAAAACCATTATAAGGTTGACATTCTACTGCAGTACGTTACTCTTGGCTTGAGATCAATAATAATACTAAATAATACATTATTTGAAAAACAATAAAGAGTTTTTCTTTTATTTCAGGGAGAATTAGATTATGAAATACAAGATAAAGATAAGATTGTTTTTATATCAACTTTACATGGTGGATGAAGTAAATATCATATCATTTGTGAACAGTGACATAAGAACATTGATAGAAACCTATGTTAAGACTATTTTAATGTGGAAATCGTAAGGTGTGAATGTCTTGTAACATGGCCTATGTATTAATTTATTTTGAGCTCCTTGATTCAGCAAAGGTGGATGAGTCCGTGAGATATCTAGCCCTTAAACTGTAAGATCTACTGTACTCTATGTTAATACTGATGAAATATATCATACACCTGGATCAAGGGGCATATGTCAGTTAATTGACTAACATACCTTTCAAATATAGATAATTTCTAACTGCTGTCTAACAATTTTTACATTTACTTTGTCGTAATCCCTAGGAAAAGTTGAATTTTACAAATAAATTGCACTAAAATTTTGTAAGCTGGAGCAGTCCACAGAATCTTTTTAATGATATTGTTTCAATGCAACTGGATATATTTTTTTTGAGATTTATAACATCTATAAGAAATCATGGTTTTCATTGATTAAAGTTTCATTTGGAAGAATCACCTTGATTATATAATAAATATATTTATTTCATAAATAGAAATTGTTATATCTAGATATTTGATTAAAAGCCAAAACACATTAGCAATGTGGACTGATTGAAAGCTAAAAGACATTAGCAATGTGGACTGATTGAAAGCTAAAAGACATTAGCTTTGTGGACTATGCAAAAGCTAAAAGACATTAGCTATGTGGACTATGCAAAAGCTAAAAGACATTAGCTATGTGGACTATCCAAAAGCTAAAACACATTAGGCTAGTGCTAGCTTTGTAATCTGTCCCAAAGCTAAAAACATAAGCTTCGTAGACTGATCCAAAGCTGTTACACATTGCCTATGTGGACGATCCCAAAGCTAAACACATTAGTTTATGTGGACTCTCCAAAAGCTATAACACATTAGTTAATGTGGACTCTCCAAAAGCTATAAACACATTAGCTTTGTGCACTGATCCAAAGCTGTTATACATTAGCTATATGGACTGCTTCTAAGCTAAAACACATTAGCTATGTGGTCTGTCCAAAAGCTATAAACACATTAGCTATGTGGTCTGTCCAAAAGCTATAAACACATTAGCTTCGTAGACTGCTCCAACGCCGTTACACATTAGCTATGTGGGCTGTCCAAAAGCTAAAACACATTAGCTATGTGGTCTGTCCAAAAGCTATAAACACATTAGCTTCGTAGACTGCTCCAACGCCGTTACACATTAGCTATGTGGGCTGTCCAAAAGCTAAAACACATTAGCTATGTGGTCTGTCCAAAAGCTATAAACACATTAGCTATGTGGACTGTCCAAAAGCTATAAACACATTAGCTATGTGGTCTGTCCAAAAGCTATAAACACATTAGCTATGTGGTCTGTCCAAAAGCTATAAACACATTAGCTATGTGGGCTGACCCAAAGCTAAAACAAATTAGCTATGTGGTCTGTCAAAAAGCTATAAACACATTAGCTATGTGGTCTGTCCAAAAGCTATAAACACATTAGCTATGTGGGCTGTCCAAAAGCTAAAACACATCTTTACCTTCTTGACTTCTATACCCCCCTCCCCTCCCCCGTAGAAATGCCATCTAGTCAGTTGAATTTGTCACTTAGCTTAAATGGATAATAAAGGATCTGATTATTTGTTTTTAATCCAAGAATTCTTGATGAACTTCCAAAATGTTCAATTACGTGAAAAAAAATAACCTGTCATAATAAACAAACTTTAAAAAAAGTGCAATTGATAAAAGAATATTTTTCAATCAATGAAAAGCCATTCATTCTACGACTATCATTAATCGGTATCAGTCAATATCAGGGGCAATATGACATTATGCTGTGTGAATATCAATCTCATTTTTATTGAAATATGTAATAGTTTAGTATCAAACGGTAAATACATAATGTAGGTCTTCGGGTCAATAACTATTGTTAATTATAATTGCAAAGCGTATATACAGTACATACATAGAGTGTATATCGCATAATACATTGATATACTCTAGGCCTAACATTCTCTCCTTCAGCTGTGTATAATATTAACAAAACTATTGTACCGTATCAATTATATATTGTGTAGTATTTTGTTTCTGCAATTTGTAGGAAAATTCTGTCGTGATATCCTTTTCAAATTGCGCAACAATCTTGTGATAATGTGTCGTTTGTTGTAGGCGAGTTAAGTTCGGACCTACTACGGTAAATGATAAGCTGAAATCTATGTAAATTTCTATTTATAAGTCGGGTTGACCTAAATACAAAATAAACCTGGATCTTCAACGCTACCAACGACAGGACATGTCGGATACGGACCAAATTGTTCCGGCCCGTGAACTCGGGGATCAACCCCTGTCCTTTGCGGATCTGGGGATACCCACTGGACCTCAAGTAACGGATACATTCCTTGGAAAGGTGAGTACGAGAACGTAATAAAAACATTGAATACTGTTGAATTGTGGAAATAAAACTACTTACTCTAAACATGTGATTTCATTTTCAGTTTCGTTCAATGTCAAATTTGAGTATGTTTATGTCAACTTGGCTATGAAATTGTGCTTAGTTGTCGTACAAAGATATTGTATTCTTTAGCATTTTCATTATATAGTTGATAGTTTATGATTAGATCTATATCTGTTGTATATGACATTGGCACATTAAAGGGGCGTAGCCTATGTTGGCTATTACACTGTATTAATAAAGACACAGTCGTCTTATTAGAGCTACTATCTTTACCAGCTAATATACCTAATATTCAGATAACGGTTCACGTATTCCTATCATCTTTCGGAGTGCAGACGAACTAGAATCTAGATTATCATTCTTTTAATGATACGGAAGCTGAAATTGAGCTCCTCTTGAAAACTAGGAAAGCTAGTAATGCTAATTGTAGGCCTATCATTATTCCTGTAATCTTCAATCGAATACATGTTATTGACTGAAGTGACGACTGATAAGAGGTATTTTAACTCCCCATACCTTAGCTGTTTTCAAAAAAATATATATCATACATATCATTCGTATACAATAAACACAAAACTAATTGTTGAAGATTAGGGCAGTCTAACCTTAACCTTAACATTGACATGACGTCACATAATTTGACGCCAAAGAATCGATTCACGTTTTGAAAAGGGATAATGATAGTTAAAGGAAATGTAAATTCAGGCACCTGGGTCACTTTGCAGATTTTATTATTTCGTATTATATTTCTAAAAAGGGATATACATAGTAGAAATTTGGAATTGATAAAGCAAATTTGAATAGGTCTTATCCATTTAAATAACACTTGACTTTACTTCCGCGTCAATGCATTTACACATTATAGTCCCTTGTTAATAATATAGCCTTAACATCATCATCATCCACTGACCTGCTTAGGCAGCACCCCCCCCCCCCCATGTTTTGGTCTGACAAAAGAAAAATGTATTTCATTAATAATATCGATTGAATATAATAACGGAATTTTACTATTTCGTCTCATGTGCACGCTTCAATTAAAGATGCAGGCACACGAGCTGTCTTGGTCGGAGATTTTTGTCGACGATGTCTGTGAAACTCAAGACACTTCTAAAGTTGGCGACCGAAATCTCTTTAATAACACCATCCTTGCCATCTGAAGGAGCTCAGTGTTATCTTCCTACTTTCAGTTACCCATCATACACAAACCAATCGAGTGGAAATTATAAAATTATAGCCAAAGCTGATATATGGACGACTATAATAACCCTTTAAAAACAAAATTAGCATATCTATCTTCTTATTTTTCAGGCTCGAAGAATTCAAGACGTAGAGAAAACTGAAATACTGTTTGTTGTCCTATCATGCTTGTCTATAATAGCCACTGCCGTCCTGTCAATTTACAAAATGGCCACTACGTCGGTCACCGATACAGATTTCACATTTGCATTGCTTCTTTTGGTTAATGCAGGTAGGCCATATTCTAATAAGCCTAGTGTGATGACGTCACTTCAATCAATACAATAATTGGTAGTCATTTTTATGTAGACGAATCGAACGCCACATTTTATACTGAAAGAACTTAAAGGTATGCTGCCTCTTAGGATGACCAAAAAATTGAAAATTTTAAACTTGGTTAATTGAGTCTTTGTTCATCAGTGGACTTACCTCGTTCCAAAACTATACAAAAGAATCTCTTCATAATTCAATAAATCCATAAAACTAAGTAATAATTCATTAGACTTCGCAATTTGATACATGCTTAGAAGGTGTTTCAATAATTAATGGATATATCGTGTTATATAGAGATTCTATTCTTTAGTCATGGTACCTGGTAAGTCCAACTGGTGAATATATACTATAATCGACCAAGTTTAAGACTTTAAATTGTATCTCAATTCTAAGAGGTAGTATTCCTTTAAATAGAAATGGTTATATATTTCAGGGTTCTGTATATTCTATGTAATACATGGTGTTCTTAAAGAAAGGGCATATGAACTTGGTATACTATTGATAGCTGTTGTTGGTATTGTGCTCTATTCCGTTTTAAATTTTTCTCTCGTCGATAAAAGAGGACCAGTCAAAATTGTGAGTATAGCCAATGAACATTATACAATTACTAGTCATGATAAACGCTACGGTTACCTGTTCAAGATACAGATTTACAGGTTACCATTCATACTTGCAGCCTCTGGTTACCAGTGTTTGATTCAGGTTTTTATAATCTTCCAAGCAACAGGTAACGGTTACCAGTCCTGGTAACAAGTAGCCTACTAGTTACTTCGCCTTGGTTCTTGATACAAGTTCCTGTTACCAGTTCCAGATACATGCACTGGTTCCAAAGTTCCAAATTCAGGCCCTGGTTACTAGGTCTAGATACAGGTTTTGTTTTGTAGTCCTAGATAAAAAATTTTCATTACCTATCCGAGATATAGGTTCTGGTTACCAGTCGTAACTAGAGGTTTCGGTTACCAGTCCTAACCAGAAGTTTCGGTTACCAGTCAAGGATACAGGTTCTGGTTACTAGTCCTATTGTAACAATTTTGCTGTTACGCTTTTTTTCTTGTTACCAGTCCTAACTAAAGTTTCCGGTTACCAGTCCTATCTACAGGTTCCGGTTACCAGTCTTGTCTACAGGATCTGGTTAACAGCCATTGATACAGGTTCTGGATACCAGTCCTGGTTACAGGTTCTGGTTACAAGTCATAGGTTCTGTTCTGATAACAAATCCTGACTTCAGGTTCTGGTAACCAGTCATAGATACAAGTTCTGGTTACCAGTCATGGATACAGGTTCTGGTTACCTGTTCCAGATACAGGCTCTGGTAACAAGTCGTGGATACAGTTGATGCAGTAGTTCTAGATATAAGTTCGAGCAGTCTCAGATGCAGATTTTGGTTACCAGTCCGAGATGAAGGTGCCAGATACCAGTCCTACCGTCACCGTTAACGTTACCACCGTATATAGTTCAAATTAGTTGACCAGTATTAAGATTTTTGTACTTCTTTTCACCTAGTTAATGCAGGTTATGTTTTCATTTTGAAGCGATTATTTTTCAGGCACGGTTAGTTATAGTATGTGTTATGAGTCCACCAATAATGCTATTCTGTGTGAAATACGGTTTGGATTATTACCGCTCTGGAAATTTGATATTCAGAACAATTGGTGCCAATGCAACTTTACAGGGAATTTGTAAAACTCTGTATTTATTCCATGACTTATTAAAGTTGGATCTACAGTTAGGGGTAAGTTTCTTGTTTCATTCATCGAGGGGGTTGTAGCCCAGCCGATTAAAGCGTTTTAAAATTTATGACGTCATATTCCTCTGGCACAACTCATTTGTTCAATCGCCGTTGGCCTTGAATAAATCATCTTTCGACCAAGTTGCAAAGCACATGAATAGAAGAGATTTTTGGAAGAAAAGATTTTTTGAACTTGCTATGGATGCTTTAACCTATCATATATGTATAGTCAATGATTTTGAATGTTAAAGTGAAAGATATTTGTATTTTCTTTTAAATTCTCTTTTATTTAGATAAGTATGGTAATATTGATATTAAATTCAACTGTTGATGTTGCATTAGATGATTATATCATTCTGTCTGTTGGTGGAGTTTTCAGTATTATTTGGTTCATCATAGGATTCTTCAGTGTAAGTTCTCAGCACACGCATTTTTTATAAAGATAAACTTTTTTTTTCTTGTGAATACATGATAGCTTGAAGCTTGAAGGATCAAACAAGTACACAGATGAGATTATCAAATTGTTAAGTTCTCGCCGGGTTACTATTTGCTAATGCTGCCCATGTTCTTTAGTTCAATAGGAAGCATAAGATAAATTAGAATAAGACTTTTACTTGTGTATACATGATAACTTTAAGATCAAATTGTCAAATTATCTTCAAGCTAATGTTATTAATGATGTCCGTGCTCTTCAATTCATTAGTCAAAGAAAAAGTTGGACTAAAAACGCATTTTTTATAAAAAGATTTTTACATGTCTATACATGATAGCTTTAACTATCCTCTTCCACAGAAGTAGGAAGATGGGTTTCTCAATTATCAAATTCTTTCGGACAAATTTTATTAATTCTGTCCGTGTTCTCTAGTTTATAAGAGGCAGAAAAGTGGGACTAAAAACGCCATTTTTAGAAAGATTTTTCCTTGTGTGTACATAATAGCTTTAAGTATCCTAAGATGGGTTTCTCAAATTGTCAAATTCTTTTCGGGCGAATTTGATTAATTCTGACCGTATTCTGTAGTTTACCAAATTAATGCGGCAATGATTTCGTTTTAAAATAATTTCAATATGTCGTAATTATATATTTTGTGTATGATTTTCAACAATTCAATATTTTATATACCTTCAGAGTCGTAATGAGAACACTGTGGGGATGGTATTTTTCTTTCTTGGTAGTCCTGTAGAACCAGCGTATGTTTTGTACAAAATGGTCAAGGTGAGTTAGTTCTCTAAGATATTGTCGTCAGATTTGTGTTTGACTTAATTAACCGTATCATTTTTCAAAATGGAATCCGAGCATACGATTGTGTTTTTGATTTTTTCTTCTTTTCTTCGAATATGGCATTTCCTTGTTCTCTCTTTTCGTTGTCTATAGGAAATAATGTGTGCTTTCAAAAAGAAAAAAAAATATAACATATTTTTTTTTTTTTTTACATTATATGATTGCACTTGTGTCTTTCAATACCACCGTGTCATATCCTGTATAAATAAACTTTTCACATTCAAATGCGGTGTGGTTTAGTGTTGATAGATATATGCAACAGACCCCGTGTGCTACAGGCTGTGTAGGTTAAAGATTCCTCGACAGTTGGAAATCAAAAAGAGTAAGCTAATACCGTTGTCCATCTAGTACAATTCGTGGCATTGTCCGACGAGCCCAATGGCGTAAACTCAATTTTTGCCACCTTTGTGCTAATGCGTTTCAGCGACATTAAGTGGTTTTCTAAAAATCCATATTGTGTATATTGGGGACACTAATAGCATTAATTTGCACCATAAAGATTTTCATTCAGACGACTATGGTAATTGAAATTCCAATAAAAGCAAAAGCTATTAATAATATTTAAGGGCCTAATATCTGCTAGTCTTTAGCCATTGATGCCTTTCGTTATTTAATTCAGATGTTTATCCTAATAACACAAATCATATGTATTTATTTTCAGTCGGCAGAGCAAGTAGATACAAACTTAAAATCGGCATCACTGACTTGTGGTGTTTTAGCTTTAGGATTCCGTGTAATATTAATCATATATTCAGTTTTAGTTTGGAGGAATTTTGGGAAAGGCTTAAAAGAGAAAGGTGAGTTGGTTAATGAAATATTGGTTATTACCAGGCGAATACCTCTGTCCGCGAAAATTTCTCTCATAGCATACGGAATGGGGTTTTCAATATCTGAGACTATAGAGCAGAACAGTTGAATGACTGAGACTAAAACAGAATAGTTGAATTTCTGAGACGAGAATAGAACAGCTGGATATCCGAAACTAGAGCAGAACAGTTGGATATCCGAAACAAGTGCATAACAGTTGGATTTCTGAGACTAGAGCAGAACAATTGGATTTCTGAGATTAGAGTAGAACAGTTGGGTATCTTGAGAATAGAACAGAACAGTTGGATATCCGAGACTAGAGCAGAATAGTTTGATATCTGAGACTAGAGCAGAACAGTTAGATATTTGAAACTAGAGCAGAACAGTTATATATCTGAGACTAGAGCAGAACAGTTTAATTTGTGAGACTAGAGCAGAACAGTTGAATATTCGAGACTAGAGCAGAATAGTTTGATATCTGAGACTAGAGCAGAATAGTTTGATATCTGAGACTAAAGCAGAATAGTTTGATATCTGAGACTAGAGCAGAAAGATCCTATTTTATTTAATTCCCCCTCTCCCTTCATGTTTGTTGTGTTACCCAGGTAATTATTAAAACTCAAACGTGACCACAATTAAGTGATTGTGTTTTGCAATTCGGAATTTCCCTTATTACATACTGATTTGCATCGTTTGTCACTCCCTGTGGCCTGATTTCAAACCCTTTTTAAATTGCAGAAATATCTTCAAAGACTACAGACTACAAATCCAATCAACAGGCAACCACAGAGAACCCAGAATGATGAGCTGCTCACAATCAAATACACTATTATCATAATAATCAATCATTAATACATTATCATTTTTTACATTATATTATTGCACTTGTGTCTTTCAATACCATCGTGTCATATCCTGTATAAATAAACTTTTCACATTCAAATGTGGTGTGGTTTAGTGTTGATAGATATATGCAACAGACCCCGTGTGCAGCAGACTGTGCACGTTAAAGATCCATCGACAGCTGTAAATAGAGTAGGATAATACCGCTGTCCACTATACTTTCCCTCTTGTTCACTACATGGCATGCCTGTCTACACTTGCCCAATGACGTAAACTCATTTCATTTCATAATATAAGATATAATATGCATAAAAAGGAGCAAGTCTCTCTCAGATGAGATGATATGCTCCATCGTATTTCTTCAAACCAATTCTCCTTCCGAATTATGGCATTTAAGGGGTTGAATTTCAAGAAGACTTGGCCAGGTTTTGATTTGGCAAACGACAGTTTTCGTAAAGCTGAAGACAGTAGACCTTTTATTTACTGATGGCTGTCGATTTGCCCCTGACAAATGAAATTTGGCGAGATTAAAGAATGATGTTCAGTCGGTAGCGAGTAGGATTGTCGTCCTCGTCAAGGTAAGAAAATTTCGGATTCCTGTGCCTATGCAACGAGAGGCGGACAGATGTCGGCTTTCACCCCCAAATACCACACTATAAGCCAATCTTTTGTGATTCTACTAGCATCAAGTTTGGCGGTGTCTTTTTAAGTGAATTAAAGTAAGCGCACCATGTTCTTTTTAAATTTTCGACCTTTTGTTTTTGAAGTATGAATTTTCAACTTGGTCTATGCTATTGGCATATTTAAGAGCGACACTGGTTGTAGGCCTACTGAAAACTTTTTTCGGTGACAGGAAGTCAGGTTATGGGACGACAGCTCTCACCACACTTATTCTGCTCCGTGCTCTGTGAGGTCAAAACAGTCCGAAACATACTAGGCTATCCCATAGCTCATGTTACTCAGTTATTCCTGACAATTTTAGTCTAACGTAGATGCAGAAAATCTAGATGCTCCTGTTTTATTGCAATTTTACAATGTATACACCAAATTCGAGGAAATTTAAATTTAGGCCCCTTTATATTTAATCCAAATGATTATAACTATTACGTCATGTTAAGATAACGTGCAGTTTCCCGCGACGTTGACGTTATTGGCGTCGAATGTTATGAGGAGATATCCAACGACGTCATTGACGTTATGATGAGCTATGGCAGCAGGAATACCGGAACTAAGATAACTTTTCAACAGTCACGACACAGGGATAGGAATAGGCTGTGTTTACACTCAAAATGACTTGTCCGGACAAAATGCTTTTTGTGCAAGGAATGGGAAAGATGTTGTACGAGCCCTTCCGGTTTACAATGCAAGACTTTAACAGAACTCCAACTTTAAAGACAGTGGCTGTATTTTTGTGGACGTCTGTGGTCGGTTATTTTCGGAGTGAGTTTACCAATCTCGGTCTAGCCTACATCCACACGGGGATCTTTCTGTTGACGCTGCTATCCCTAATGGCCACTGAATACTTGATGACCTATTCCAAGACGGATCGGCTGTTTGAACGAAGATACGTGAGCGATTTGATCAATCTGGCGATGTACATCACTCTGCCAGTGGTGCTCATGTTTTACTTCTGGTTTCCGATTTATGATCGCCTCCCGTGTATGATGAAGAATGTAGTGTTGGGAGGCGTCGAGGTAGAAGATTGGAAGTTAACTACTTGGGTGGTTTTCTCGGCCTCCCTATTTCTCAGTGCTTTGTATGGAATGGTGCAAGGTTTGAAGAAGCCCTACAAATTCCGACGAAGGAACAAGTATAGTAGTCCTGAAGCTCATACACCAATTACAAGAAGCATGACTAAACAATTGAAACGTTAACGGAAGGCGTGAGTGGAGATTTTAATGACAGTGATACCGACATAAAGATCTAAGATGGACAAGCTGTAGCATTCGAATTTTGGAACATTAGATTATGTAAACAGACAATTAAAAGAAAAAGAATTTTCAAACAGTCCTTTTTGATAAAACATCTTCGTTTGTCTTTCTCTTACTCAAACCTCTATTATACAAGCACATGTATGTAGCCTAATTGTATGTAAGCTTATATTATATCAATAGGCTTCTAGAAGGTCTACAAAAGTTGTTCAAATATTGAGTCTTCGTATGGCCCCGTCAAATCGGAACAGCATTCTTACTGCACTGCTACTGTGACGGCAAGTTGGCTCCGAGTGTGTTTAGCGTGCTTTAGGCGAGTATAACACACCAGACATCGTGCAATTGTCGCCGCTATTCCCCGAGTCACTGCGTTTATTTTGAATACGTTCAAAACACACACGAAGACGCGATAATCTGTTCTGGTTCGAGAAGGTCGCTTTGCTTCTTGACAAAGTACGTTCTTTCAAATAGAATTTTGCGGAGAAATGTAAGAATAACCAGACGCCAAATTTTTGGTACCAATTTACTTTCTTTTAAAACTCAAAGATTATGGCTGAGTTACTGTCATAAAATGCCAAGTGCCAAACGGCTTTAATAGTTTTCAGAGTAAGAATGAAAAAATATCATCTACATCTATTCGATCCTTGAATAATATTCACATTTATACTATACGACTTACAATTTGCAAGTATGAGTTATGTACCCATTTCGTCATTGACGGGAAATATCCCACCTGAAAACTTTGAAAACTGATATATAAAGGAAGGAATAGTTCGAATTTTCTGAAATGTTTGATGAATATCAAGGGCCTGTGTAAGTACTGGTACCCTTATGTCAAGTTTCACACCGAGAAGCGGGTTGGTGCGAATCAGCAACAGTTTCCGATGATTCAATTGAGGCCGCCATTTTCAATCACCATCCTTTTACTGCAAATATTACGAGATTCCTGATTAGATAAATTGAATGCTAGCGTACGGTTTGCAAAGAGAGCTTATAAGTCTCTAATGGTGAGAATATGGGATTGTGCAAGCAATGATTAGATTAATACAGCCAATCAGAACCTTCACAGAACGTCTACAATTCAACGTGGATTATCTGGGTGATCCTGGCTATGGCTGATTAGGTCCAAGTGTTGCAAATTTTATTCGGTTTAGGCCGCGACTTTCAGTGTAATCTTCTAAATAGCGCACAGTACAGAAGCCCAATCTTACACTTAGTCGAATATCTCACGAACCAAAAATATTCAGACTCTAGCCTTTTGCACACTTACAAACAAATAGAAATGCAATTTTTCACAAAAATTTCGACTTCAAAATCAAGATTTTTTGGACAAAAAATTGTTGATTTTTCTCCAGTTAGATACGAGTAATTCCGAACAAACCATGACTCCTAGGTTTAGAATGTGCCGACTGATTAGACCAATCACCAATCAGTGTCAACTATGTTGAATTGTAATTCAGTTATTGAAGACTGAACGTCGATTGGTCAAGATAAATATTAGACCAATTAACTGAAATGACTGGATGTTTTGTAGCGAAATTATTTGTTTGTGGTCTGAAAATGTCGTTGATTATCAGAAGTTATGTCCCCTCTTAAATTTTTCGTGATGTCTCGGTGATTTCCGGCAAATTCCGTTAAAAAGATGGCCGAATGTGAATCCATCAAAATATTTACAGTGTTATTTTCTGAAATATTTGCATTATTTGTCGACATGTAATGATAACAACCCACCAGTGGGTAAGTTTCGTCCTTTGAGATGTATTTTCGAATAACAAATACTAATTTAGCTCGACAAAAACATTGCAGACGCCCTGTTAAACTCTGTTGACTTGTGCCCTGCTTCCATGGCATTGCAAAATGGTAAACAAATTATTAATCATCAGAATTCAAGAACGAAAATGGCAATAAGATGCAATCCATGCAATTACTTATAAAGATGCAGGTTTAAATCCATACTCTTTCTTCAGATATTAAGTAGGCCTAATTGCAATCCTATTTCGAAGGGGATCTTGATAGTGTGTAAGTTGACCTACCACCACAAGTACCAGTGTATTTTCAATTCAACTTTTCAAAATTTCAATCCAAAGACTAAAAAAAAAAAACTTTTAAGTTATTTTAAGTTGAATTTGTGCAGTATGAAAGATTGTGTATAAAATGTCTTGCATTTTGGATCGTGACATTCTCAAGTTCACGTTATAAATTCCTCTGCTAAAAGTCTAAATTCATAATGATTCATATGTCATTATCCTGGCAAAAATTGCACACTGTATGGTCCAATCAAGAGCAGGATAGAAGTATAGAACTGCATGTTATATTACCTTGTTGATCAACCCAATCAATTTGAAATTTTTAATTTGTTTTTGGACATTGATTATTAAGGAACAGGTGCGTCATTGTTTTTTCCAATCAGTAATATTTTCACCATCAAATTTTGAGCCTTCAAATCCATGTGTATCCAGAATTAATTGCATTTGAAAGTTAAAAAGACTAGTTGTCTTTTTTGAGACACTGTCATTTATAGAAAAGACATCTATAGAAATAAGAAAAGAAATTCCTAGTTAGAGATAATTTTGAAGGAATTTTCTAATACCTCTGAAGTCTATTTACATTTATAATATGTAAAAATATATTATATTCAAGACTCTTATCAACCCCAAAATGGCGAATCTGTTTCTTAGGCTTATTTATATGTCCAAAATCATATTGGCTTCTCAAGAATGATATTTTTGTTTTTTCTTCCAGGACCAGCAGAAGTATTTAAGATATTTTCATAAAGTTATTGAATTATCATTAACACATCAAGATGCCTTCTCCACAGCTTGTAGTTAATGAAACTGACATAGTTAGATTAGTGTCAGAATTTCTACAGAATCGTCAGTTGAATATCTCTATGATGTCATTAGAGAGAGAAACAGGTAGGCTATGAACAGTTTACAGCACTAATTAGTTAGTCTTAGATTATGGTTGAAGTGCATGATATCTACAATAAAACAGGACTTGCAAATAAATCTTTTCTCTGTGTTTGGGTTTTTTGTAAAATATGTGAAGTCATTTTTGTTTTTCTATTAATCAATTTGTTTCTTGCTAATTGCGGGAAATTTTAGCTGTTATTTTATATAAAACTGGGCATAAGCATTATCAATGACAAATATGGATAATATGTATATATTGTAGGTATTATCAATGACAAATATAGATAATATGTATATTTTGTATGTATTATCAATGACTATTATGGATAATATGTATATTTTGTAGGTATTATCAATGACTTATATGGATAATATGTATATTTTGTATGTATTATCAATGACTATTATGGATAATATGTATATTTTGTAGGTATTATCAATGACTTATATGGATAATATGTATATTTTGTAGGTATTATCAATGACTAATATGGATAATATGTATATTTTGTAGGTATTATCAATGACTAATATGGATAATATGTATATTTTGTAGGTATAATCAATGACTAATATGGATAATATGTATATTTTATAGGTATTATCAATGACTTATATGGATTATATGTATATTTTGTAGGTATTATCAATGACTAATATGGATAATATGTATATTTTGTAGGTATTATCAATGACTAATATGGATAATATGTATATTTTGTAGGTATTATCAATGACTAATATGGATAATATGTATATTTTATAGGTATTATCAATGACTTATATGGATTATATGTATATTTTGTAGGTATTATCAATGACTAATATGGATAATATGTATATTTTGTAGGTATTATCAATGACTAATATGGATAATATGTATATATTGTAGGTATTATCAATGACTAATATGGATAATATGTATATTTTGTAGGTATTATCAATGGAATGTATTCAGATGATATGTTATTTTTACGTCAGTTGATATTAGATGGACAATGGGATGATGTTATAGACTTTATTCAACCTTTAGTCACCGTGGAACATTTTGACATGAAGAAATTTCAGTATATCATCATGAAACATAAATATTTAGAATTACTGTGCATCAAATCAGACCCCAACGTGATGCAGAATTATGAGTTTACTGTGGATGAGGTGGTAAAGTGTTTAAACTCCTTGGAAGAACTCTGTCCATCCAAAGAGGAATACAGTAATCTTTGCTTCTTGTTGTCGCTTCCAAAACTCTCAGACCATATTGAGTACCAGAATTGGAATCCCAGTAACGCCAGAGTGGAATGCTTCAAAGACATCTGCCCCTTGGTGGAGAAGTTTTTACCTATTGATGGTGGAGCATCTGATAAGAGTAAAGTTGCTAAGAATGATCGTTTGATTCAGCTAGTGCTAAAGGGTTTGCTGTATGAATCCTGCGTAGAGTATTGTCAACAGCAAGCTACCAATGATGACTGTGATTTAAAGTATATGAATGTTTTGAACGATAATGGTTTCAGTGATGCAGATCTGAGTTTGATTTCCTGGTTGCTATGTATCCCTTACGACACATTTTCTTGCCCATTTGAGCAGAAGCAGGTCAACATTGATGTTCAACCGCTGATCAAACCATCGTTGGAAGCTTCATGGTCTGAACAGATCCTAGTCACACCAATTAAACCAAAGATGTTCCCACATTCAGCTGTACCAACCACCAGACCAAGATCAGCTGAAATGATGACCAGATCTTTGAATCCACAGTTTGATGGATTGAGCAGTGGGCTGATTGTGGGTCGAAGAGATCCCATGAACACATCTGGAGATTACAGTCTTTTATCAAGGTCTGTAGCACCTGGAAGCTCTGCTGCAGCTAAAAACCCAATGCTGCAGTCCATTGACAAACTCTTTTCTCATGGAGAAGTCATCAACACTCACTCTTCGATAATGGAGACACCACAGAAGACTATCCCAGAACATCCTGTACCAGCTAATTACCCTTCATCAGAATCTCCCAGACGCTTACAAGAATCTTCTTCAAATCCTGCTTCAACAGTAAAACCAATTAAATCAATCTCTCCTAGAAATAGTGGATCCACAGACAGCGCTGATAGAGGACAGGGAAATACTGCCTCACCTAGATCTAGTACTGATAATGAACTATATAAAGAGTATCACAGACAAAGACAGAAATTACAGGTAAAGAAAACATTCTTATTTGATTATTAGTAAAATACAGAACTAGAATTGGTAATAGTTTAGTAACCAATTGCACTTATTTCAGTCAAATTAGAATTAAACCAAACTTTTTTTATTTGCTTTTATTTTCAATATAAGCATGTCAGTTAGGGTCAAATTAAAATTAACCTTTGACTTAATCAATCAGATTTCTACCCTTTCCAGTGCTGGCATTTTGTGACACATTGTTTATCAGGTTAGGTCAATAGGTTAATTTAATGAACGTTTAAGAGGGCTGCTGGTAGACCCTAACTGAAGTGGCTATATGAAAAATAAATGCTTAAAAAAATGGAACGAAAGCTTGGTCTGATTTTAGTTAGGCTGCATTTATTTTAATCCGTTTTATGGATAGAGTATTTGAAAATTAGTCAATTTTTCTATTTGCAATTTTATTCAGAAGTCCTTAAACTTAAATTATTTTTTTCAAATACGTCACAGACCTATGGTTGATGTCTGGTAGAGGTTATTGACCATCAGTCATTTGAGCTGCCCTGTTGATCTTGTCTGGCAAATAGATCCAAATCAACAGTCCTATCTTAAAGTATTTTGCCAATTGAAAGTAACCAGAAATAGTGTTCTTGTCAAAAATAATTCCATGCTATGGTTTTACTTTTAGGAACAATTGGAAGCACAAGAGAGACAGCGGGAACAATGCCAACGAGAATTATTAGAAATAGAACAAAAACAGAAGAACATACTGAGTGACAACAGATTTGTGGACGAATCTCCCAAATCAAACCAGTTTTCATCTATAGAACCACAACCTTCTTGTGAGTTAGTCTTTAATTTTATTGTCTGGTGTTAGTATGGGTATATATAAGCAATGGGTTTAAATGGTGTTTGGTAAAATGGCAGTGGTGCAAATGTGAATCTTAATTTATAGGGATTTTAAAGAGATTAACTGAATTTTTTATGTGTATCGGGGACCCTGAAAGCATCAATTAGCACCATTCCAATTTTCAGTCAGACGTCTGTGATTCTTGCAATTCCCCTAAAACTAAGTGTTTGATGACGTCACTAATCGCGAAATATGCCTGTGTCACTTAAGGACCTTCACAATTAATGATGTCATCAAATACTTAGTTTTATAGAATTGCAGGAACCACACATTGAATATTGGAATGGTGCAAATCTATGCTTAATAGTGTCCCAGATACACATTGAAAGTTAGAAAACCTCTTTACAATCACTTTAAATACCAAGAAATCTCATGCATGTCATTGTTCCTGGCTAAGAGGAGTAGACATTTGCTTGCTTATTTGGATATTGGGTCTCTATTCTGGTTTAGGTAAAAAAATTTCAACCTGGTTTCAATAATGAAAGTAGGAAGGTCTCAATGTTGAGATTATAAACAAAATTTCCCTAATTGGGCACTGCATTGATTGCCTGTCTTCATCAGTCTAATCAAGTGCAGAAATTGAATTTGCATCTTTGATTATCCTTAAAAGACATTTCCAGAAAAATCTGATGTCAAAATTTCAAAATAATTCTTCAACCAAATGTATCATATCCCCTATATTCATTCTCTCCATTGCATGTGGTATATTTATTTTTATTATATTTTTGTATGTTATATTATTTTGTTTATCTATGCACCGCTTCTTTTATCACTCAAAAAAATGTTCAATATTCTCCTGGTTTGATTCTGAGTTTTGGATCATCTGGTGAAATAACTCGGCACAAAAACTCTCTCTGAGTAAGACATCTTAATTTAAAAAGTCGAATGGACAAAATTGAAATAGCTTGGAGCACAATGAATAATCTGAGCCTGTTTGAGATATTTAGTCTTCTTCGAAGTTAAAATTCAAAGTAAAAAAATGCCTTTTATCAAGAGATGTTTTGGATATTGATCCATCATCAGTATTTCCCATTTTTTGGACTGACTCACTGCTGAGAAGTAAGAATCACATTTTTTGAGTGATAATTGTGCATCAATTGCTATATATTATTTTCTGTGTAGTAACCATTCTCTTTTTTTTTTATTTTATTTTTTGGTGTTTTGTGTATCTAGGCGAGGAATCACAATATCCCAATTCAGTTGATACAAGTACGCCAACATCCTTGACTTCACCTAACAACTCGACACACAACAGATCTCTCCCTTCACCACTTGAACCAAAAACACCCATCTTTCAAAATTACACTGGTGGTTTAGATTCAGAAGATAACAGCCCCTTAGACACCAATCATTTTCAATTTGAAACAGGTAATACACAAAATATTGTCCATAAAAAAGCCACATCTTTTCAAATTGAATTTGAGGAAGCCAAGTCTTCCAAATCACCAGCTTTGCGTAGGAAGATGGGCGAAGGTGCTCCGAGAATGAGAAGAAGCAACAGTGTACATGGTACAGATATAGCAGCTGAAGTTGCTAAAGCCAGACAACCATCTCCAGCAACTCCTGCTTCACATTACGGAACTTTACCAAAGAAAACACCCAAAACTGGTGGTGCCTGCAAGTCTAAGATCTATAATAGAAGTATGAGTGTTCCTGAATCTGCCAAATCTAAGACCCTACCAGGTACCATTTTGGAATGTGTATTGAGAATGCTGTTGTCTTGACAAGTTTCAATTGGGTTTAATGATTAAGACAGATTATAAGATTATTTAGAAGTTTTGGATTTCATGAATTTGGCATTTTATAGACACTAATTTTTAAGATTAGATTTTCACAATGCTATGCTTAGTATGATTACAATGCTTGGAAGATGCTCAAAATTTTGAACTAATAGCTTGGAATAAATGTTTTGGGCTAATTGCAAGGAAAACATGCTTTAAACTAATAGCGAGGAAGATGCTTTAAACTAATAGTTAAGAAGATATATATTTATATCAATATTATCTAAGAAGGAATGTTATGAACTAATAGCTAGTAAGGAATGTTTTGAATTATTAGCCAGGAATGAATGTCTCAAACTAATAGCAAGAAATAAATGTTTTGGACTAATAGCAAAGAATAAATGATTTGGACTAATTGCAAGGAATAAATGTTTTGGACTACTGTTTAAACTAATAGCTAGGAAGGAATGTTTAGAACTAATATTTAAGAAGGAATGTTTTGAACTAATATCTTTAGAAGGAATGTTTTAAACTAATAGCTAGGAAGGGATGTTTCATACTGACTATTAAGAAGGAATGTTTTAAACTTATAGCATCATGAAGGAATGTTTCATATTAAAGGGCTATGTGTGTCCAACTAATAGGAAAGTTTTGTATTGATAGCTAGGAGGGAATGTTTCAAACATCTTGTAAAAACTTTAAGCATTTCAGTTTATTGAAGAACAGTAACAGATTCTTTTTGATTTTGAAACATATTATTACTTGACTTGATTTTGTAAATGATAAAAATTAGGGAATCCATCTTTAAATACATCATGAAAACATTGCATGATAACATATAATATATCATCAAAACAAAGAATGACAACATAATGATGTACTGTCTTATATAGCAAGGAGTAAATCTAAAACACCAACATTGGGAAGAAAACAATATTCAACTATGACTAAAACCAAGAAAACAACACAAGTGACAGGTTTGTTATTGATATCACATAAGCATGGTGTGATCCCCAAAACCTATTAATACCAACTGATGTGGTCCACAAAAATACCCTTCCAATGTTTGTATACCTGATAATTACAGTGGAGCCTCGTTTATCCGCACATTCCCGTTTCCGATAAAATCATATTACATTCCATTGTAATTAATGGGTCTTCAGTTGTATTGGGAGCTGCGGTGGGATTTAGACGCATGCCGGCATAGTTTGAGAAAATACCTTCAGATTTTTCAACCAGATCTGAGGGGCTGACATGGAAAAGGCATCTAGTAGTTCGAATGGGACAATAAACAAGGCCCTGTGTGCTACAGGCTGTGCACTTTGAAGATCACTCGACAGTTGGAAATCGAAAAAGAGCAGGCCTCATTGCACATCTTCATTAGCCCATAAGGTGCAGAAAAGTAGGACTTTAAACTCCAATCATTTCAATGGTATTGACTAATGCAGAATATGTAGTTTTAAAAATGTTCAGCCTGAAGCAAGTTTCTGTTAGTCATGGACCAACGTACATTTTGAAATAGTAATATCATTCTAATCAAGAGTTGAAAATAATGCAGATGATGCAGGTGATAGGGCATAAATGAAAATGAAGATTATTCCATCCACTGACATTTTACAATAGAAAGCCAATTGTACTTGGTTGAACTTTAAAAGAAAGGTTTGAGTCATAATTCCTGTTTTTATGGCGCCGCCACTTTTCAAATGGTTATTATAAATACATAATATGCATTACTTATAGCATGAATATGTCATGTCAAAAACGAAGTACTCAGAATTAACTGATATTTGAAGTGAATGTCTACTGAGATAATAATGATGAGTTCCATCTGGAAATTATCTCTTGAGTATTCCAAATGATTATTATAGACCTTAAAGGGACAGTGCATCATTTTTTTGACCAATTGTACTTCAGTCTCAGAAACAGGAATTTTTCTTAGTAATAGTGTTCACAGCTCTCAGTCAAAATTTGAGCCTTTAAATTCATGTGTGTCCAGAATTATTTGGTAAGACTCATCTTTTCTTGAGACACTGCCATGATATATAGAAAAGACATTTTTGAAGGAATTGTGCGATTTTTGTATATTTTTAGTACTTCTAAAGACTATTAACATATATTCAAGACTCACCAAAATGGCGCATCTATCTCTTTAACTTATACAATAAACAAAATGGCTAGATGTAATTTATTTTTCAGATTTTATACTTACATTAACCCCATATAATTCCCATATGTTGATAATTATTTTATCATTTCCTTGCATGTTGATTTTTATATATTCTTCAGTCTAGTTTCAGCTATATTGCTAAATTATACATCAATATTCTTTTGTATTGCCTGCTTTTTCATGTTTTTCTGTGAACTGATTTCTTTATTTTTAAAAGCAATAATGCTCAGTTGTTGACAATTGACAACAATTTAAGAATTCCCAT